CTTTCTCCCTTCCTCCCCCTCCCCCTCTCCCTCTTTCTCTCTTTTTCCCTCTTTCTTTCCCCCCTCCCCCTCTCTCTCACCCCTCTCTGTCTCTCCCTTCCCCCTTTATTGAATTGTTTATTTTACCCTTCTCTCTCTCTCTCTCCCCCTCTCTCCCTTTATCTCTTCCTCCCCCCTCTCCCTCTCCCCCTCCTCTCTCTCTCCCTCCCCCCTCTCTCTCTATTGGCCATTAATACCAACGCTGGCAGGTAATAAATTGGTTACAAAATTTTCAAATGCCCCGAGGATGACAAATTAGTTTCTTTCTTTTGTTTTAGACTTCATCTATGTTGTACATATATTTATCCTGCCTGTCGCTTATTTTCATCGTCTCCGTTTTATCTCATCTCGTCTTCGTTTGATCCGAGCCGAAGTCTCAAGCAATTAAAACTTGTCGCCGTCAGTTGTGCCGTAGAATTTTTCCAGACATTCGGCAAATTTGAAAAAATATACAAACGCTGGCCGCTTTATTACAAATTTCTCGAGCGGAATGTTTAGCATTCGGAGCAGCTACGTAAAGATTCCAATCTCTCCGTTTATTATTTTTCCCCGTCGGCGATGTATTCAAGCATGTCGCAAAGCTGAGACAGGTTAGTTTTTGCGGCTCGTTTTTGAAATATACGGGTACGAACTTTGACGGGTGAATCTTCGACTAAGCTTAAGGTAAAAGTTTCGTTTTTATTTTATTATTAGTTCTGTTTATTATTTATTTTATACAGCATGAAGATTTCTTTTGAATCCGCAATTTTCGATAAAACCTGTTTTTATTTAAAATCTTTTTCAAAGCAATTTCAAATTCACTTCACTGCGTGATACGGCTGCGCAATTTCAAGGCACATTTTAATCTTACAGATAAATTTGATGATGCATAAGACGGAACGCTCTGTACATGAGTGTTTGTGAAGGTTCTCATTAACCGCCCGTTGTCAGATTAAAAAAAGAAACAATAACAAAAATCACCGCAGAGAATTCGATTTACAATGTGGATGGGCTGAAAGTGGTTCCAACCAATGTACGTTGTGTGGGTCGACTCTATCCTTCCTCGTGGTGCTGCGTATTTCAGTCGTTTACATTCAACAGTATCAGCGGTTTTTTCACTCGCTCCACGAAAACTTTAAACAAATTTACTTAAAACGTGGACAAACAGAAAAACCACGTGTACCACAAGACAGGGCCGTATTTAAGATATTAGTCGACAAGAACGGATGAACTTATTATATTATATTAATTCTTTTTAGTGCGCTTTTTATAAATCTTCTTGAAACAGTTCCTACTTGATCGATACCCTATTTTAAAAACACAGATAATTGCTTTATAATTGATGTTTTCTCAGTTTGCTTCATTTGTATTTATATTTTTATATTTATAATAAACATTTGAAAGTAATAATGGAATGTTCACTGCATAGACAAATAATAATCGAGGAATCTCAGCGATGAAACTTTACACAAATCGGTCAGCTTTCAGCATTCGTAAACAGGAAGTACTGAAGTTCGGTTCTGGAACGTCATTTATTGAAGGTTATAAAGAGAAACCGAAGGGAGGTTAGACCTTCATAAAAATTTACCAAATTTAAATACCGGATTTTGTCGAAAAAAAGGTATACCGTTTGGAGAACTCTACCTGTTTTCTTCACTGGATCCAGGTCCGTTGCCGATCGGCCGTTTTCGGATCGAGTCTCGTTTGCTTTCGCGCTCCGAAATCGAACAAAAGCAATTAAAAGTTGAAGCCGGTCGGCCAACAGTCCGCAAAAATATCCGATAAATTGGAAAATCACAAAAGCGGTTTAGAGCCGTATCTCGATTGTGTCGCGAGCGGTTTTCAATATGCATTTTTCATTCGGCCTCTCGCGCGGTTAAGAGCGTAATAGGATTTCGATCTTTAAAGCGTACTTTTTGTGTTATCGATATTTTTGTTATGGGCCGTTTGATGAATCGATAATTATCACGTTCAGTTTAATTCCTGATCTAATTTTAGGCTTAAATATCCTAACGATGTTTCAAGCTATGACGATGACGTTCTGATTTCTTGTGGGTGTCGGTTAACGTCTTCAATATGCCTAAAGACTACGCCATGGAAGTCTTGCAGCCGATCTTACTGCTTTGTTGTTATGCATAATTTGTACCGTTAAACTTCCAATTCTAACCTAGAAGTTTAATATACAACGTAAACTGTGATTAATTGTTTTTTTTTGTGGTTCAAGCCAAATATATTTCGATTATTTCAGAGATATGAATAGAGGTGAGAAGAAGGTGGATTTAGATATTTTGGATCTAAGCTAAATCGCCAGCTTTTATTTAAGAAACAAACACGTTAGAGTTGGAGCTTAAAAACAACTGAGCTCAAAAAAATACTCAGGACTTAAGGCATTTTTGTTTGGAAACATCCGTTTGAAACATTGGGGAACCAGGGAATTGGAATTGTGTCTTATGCTTTGACGCTATGTTTCGGGAGTGCTATCGCCTTTCTTTGAATAGAGGGAAGATTGGTTTAATCTTAATGCCGTTCATTAAAGGATCGACTATACAGGCTAGCCTTTCTAGTGCTTTGGATTTGACTTTGTGTAAATTTGCATTCAGATGTTCTAACCGATTACTCAGATTTCCAATCCCCGATAATCTACGCTGTTCACGTCTAGTATGTCGCCCTAAATGTTTGTTTTATAATCAATCAAATTTTCTTTTAGCCACCTCAAATGTATTAAAATTGGAAAATAGGTCGAATTGTTAGTTTGTTTTTCGGTAACGCAAAATAAAAATCCTTCCAATGAAAGAAGAGAAACGTGGGCTTTAAAAACAGTTTTAAAGATGTGTTTTTTTTTCAACATTTTTAACAAAAACTAACGCGACGTTTTGGGTCATTTTTAAATTAAGTGGGAAAACATGGCTATAAATTATAAAAAAGTCGATAACTGATTACAGGCGTAACGGCCATTTTAATATATGATGGAATATTGTTGGTTTAGCAGGCATAATATGAATATAAGGTCAAAAAGATATTAATGTCCTTTACGGACTTTAACGGATTACATTTCCTTTTAATATCTACTAAAAATGTGAAAAGTGCTATTGTGTTGTTTACGGGAAAAGAATTCGTCCAGGTAACATCGATTTAATGCTACATTAAGCTCCCATTTTTCTTCGTATTACATTTTTCATCCGATAATCTCCAAACGAAACTGCTTATCCGGATTCGTGTCCAAACCGCTAAAATAAATGGACATTTTGTCATTTTCTCTCATTTGTCCAGCCCTATAATATATCGAAAATGGCAGTAATACTTTAATCGATAAAAATGCATCAAGCTTTAACTACTTAAATACAATCTGCGTTATATTTACCTCGCTACTTGGTGGCAAACGACATTCCAGTTATTTTTGGTAAACATAATAAGGGTTTGTAGTACTTTCTCGTATTTGAAAGGTTAGGAAACATCCTGAGGGTAAAAGTTTGGACCAGAGAACACTTAGAAGATGAACTTTCTTCCTTTTCAACATATCAGCAGAAAGTTGTACTCTCGATAAGTTCCCAAGCTGGAATATTTGCTGTAAGTCTGTCTGATCTCATGTAGTAGAATATTTTTGAGAAAATATTTTTAAATTGCTTTTTCCCTTAAAATGTTGTTCCTTATATGACAACCAGACTTCTTTTTATATAGACTTTTTCATTTAATCCTGCAAATAGAAAAGGTATTTTCTCTTTCGAACCCTTATCCCCGAGCTCACTTGACAGACAATAATGCGAAACGTATCTCTTGTCAGTTTACCTCCAAGGATTGAATGAAATTTTGTACCCTGGGGTGAAGTCCTTTTCTCGAGAAGGTTTGAACTTGAAAATCACCTGGGTCGATTCAATTGTGCATAAAAAAATCTTGGCGTTGGGCTTTGAATGAAATTTGTGTGAAAATTGTTTTTGATATCGTTAGCACATTTTTTTTATAAATTTTACAAAATTACAACATCCGGAAGGTAGTTTCTATTATATTTGCTTTGTTTGTAACAGAATATTGGGATTTCCTAGATACTTTATTTCTTACCATTTCGTACACAGTATGAATTGGTATAGTCATCAGTCTCTTGATGCTTGTATGATTTGGTGACTTTTAAGAAAAACCTTCCAAATCTGAAACACGTGACAAGTTTTTTTTGAACAAACAGCATCTTGGGGAGGCGACAAATAGTCGAATAGAATCACAGTTTTCTGGATAAATCAATATTTCCATAAATATTCCACATAATTCTTGGTTATTACATTGTATATTAACGTTTTGGAATATATTACTGTATTCTGTTTCATTCATAATCGGAACGACTTGTCCTTTTGGGATGGATTTTATTTGGAGGTTAATATGGTTATATCGGCAGCAAAAACAAAATCGATGATCACTTTCAAGAACCGATCAGGTGCAAACTTGTTGAGTACAAAATAATACAACGGGAAATGAAATTCAAATAATAGGAATTGAAATATCTAGATACGGAGACGTTGAGGCGGAAGTAAGAAACCAAGCTACAAGAGCGTCTAGGGCAGCAGCATACCTGAACAATACTGATATATAAAACTGCTGTTAGACCTATCCCCGCCTATGCAGCAGAAGCCCTCACCTGAGACCTCGAAAACAAAAATAATATTAGAGACCACGAAAATGAAAATAGTTCGAAGAATAGCGGAAAAAACACTCGTGGATAGGGAAAGAGATGAAGATATTAGGCGAGTGTGCGGGGTAAGAAACGACAACCTCCCAAAGTTGTGAAAAAAACAGGCAATCATATGCAGCAGGAAGAAGAACAGGGGAAGGAAACTAAGTGCTTGTTTGCTTATTAATAATTCGTATCTCAGTTCTGTCGCCACATACTGCCACGTAATACTGCTTGTAAATAGTTAACAATGTTTACTGCGGTAGAGTAAAATAAATGCGATTAAATAAATAAATAATCGAACTTTATATTTTCTTTGTTCCAGTGCGACCGTTCATATCACCGTCGCCGACGTGAACGAGTACCCACCGACATTCACCGAACCCAGCTACGTCCGACAAGTAGACGAGGGTCGCATCTACAACGAGATCGTCCGTGTCGAAGCTACCGATAGAGATTGCACCCCCAAGTTCGGCGACGTGTGCAAATACGAGATCCTCACCTCGGACCAACCCTTCGTCATCGATATGGACGGCGTGATCAGAAACACAGAACCTTTGGACTACGAACGTTCACACAATCACATACTCAGCGTCATCGCTTACGATTGTGGCATGCGTCAGTCGTTTCCCGCTTTGGTCACGATTAAAGTGAACAGGGTGTGCAGATTGGGATGGCGGGGATTGCCGGAAAGGGTCGATTATGCTCCCATGACCGGCAAGCAGGAGCTGTTCCCATCTGCGAACTTGGAACTGTGCGACGTACCGTGTAACGTGAGGGAGCTAAGAACTCGGGTCGACTTGGCAACGAGGTAACCCATATTCATCAGAGTTTTTATGAGCACAACTCAATGACGATACTGAAGTCCAAAACATATTTATACTATTTATCTTGCAATCATGACCCTCAGTATGCCAGTTATCAAATATAAACATATTCATATTTCATAATTTTGGTTTTTATAACGAGTGTTGGCTGTTTGTTTTGCTTTAAAATGTCTTCCAGGCACATTTATGAGCAATTTACGTGAAATATACTTGTTCGAGGTGCAATGCTAAAAGTCTAGGTATTTTATGATAATAAAAAGCCATTTCAACTAGTTCTGCGGATTGGCGTTTCGTTGAAAATAACCTTAAATTAAACTTAGAAACATATTAAAATATTATATTTTGCTTTACACTATGCACCAACAAAAAGTCAGCTCAGAATAATTATTAGAAATAACACTGGATAGCAAGCAACTTGTCCTCACTAACATTCACGATAAGAAAGCTATGGGATGTTCTCAAATAAAATCATCCTTGTAACAATTTATTATGGCATTTTTAATTAATATAATGTCAAATAGTCTTGAGAATATTGCAAACCAACGAATGGAGATAAAAAAAAAGCAAACTTTCGTCGATATTCCATTTGCTCAGCTCATTATGTTTCGACTTGAAATATCAAAAAATATCGCTGGATATTGATTTGTGTAATCAGAAATTATCAGAATAATGAAATATAAACAATTAAAAAAAAATCCACTTTCCGTTAGCGAACCTAATTTATTTTTTCAAGGTACATGAAAGCTCCATTTTTAGTGATCATTTTGTTTTATGTACTGTGGAACATTATATTTATCATTATTTATTTTATAAAACATTCAACATCGTATCAGATTGTTAGAAACATAGCTGCTGCAATAAAGAATGTTTGTTTGTCCTCGAAATATTTTGCAATTTATAAATGTTTACTAACAAGCCATTAAAACAAAAAAAATCGATGGTTCATTCCAAGGAACATGGTTGCAATTGAAAGTGAGTTCGCGACAGACGTTGGATATGGTTGCCAGGAAATTGCTGTATATTTAGATCGAGGTAACAGATATCTGTTACCTCGATCGTATTCAGGTCATTTTTTAAACAGATGCTTACGATTAGGTAATTCTTAGATAAATTTTGGGTATGTACGGCACTTTTTTGAGTTGAATGGTCCTGTCATGCAAAATGGCACATATATTTTTTGTCAATGTATAGGTCGGCCGTGCATATGGCTGATATTATTACCATTTTTGCAGTACAGCATAAATTGTGTACACCCAAATTTGTAAAAATTGCAAATCGAACGAGGCAAATAACAAACCAGCATTTGTTCGTTTCATTCCATAGCAAGGAGGGTAAGTATATATTTGCTACAAGTTTGGGTCCGAAGCTGTATAATTGGCTGCCAATTAGCTTAAGAACGTTAAAAAACTAACTAACTACTGAAATCAAAATTTACCAGCAAATACTTTTCTTTGATCCAGCTGCAATAATAATTAAAATTGCATACATTTTGTAATTTTCAGTGTTTAGGGAAGTTTTGTACGTAAATCTTGTTTTCTCTCTGTAATGCCTTTAAATAAAAAAATCTGCACATTTTTTTCAACTTTTGGTGACAGATACCAAGATCCGTGACAAGAGATCGACGTGGTCATTATTTTATGGATATATATATATATATATATATATATATATATATATATATATATATATATATATATATATATATATATATATATATATATATATAGAAAAAATCTGAGTACGTCTCTGCAATTGACTAAAAACAGTACCGTAATAATATTTTTATCCCAAATTTCCACAAATAAACAAGTTGTCGGCGAAAATTGAGATTGATATCTCGATTCCTATTGGAGATATGTCAACGCTCTCTTGACCATTAAATATTTCTCAAAAACATAAGTCTATTGCTTTCCTATCCACATAATTTAAAAATAGATTTTTTTTCCTGTTAAACCATTCTAATTACGACGGCCCTATAGGGTTTAACTAAAACCATGCCTAATTTGACGTAGGCATATCGGGAAAGGGTGCGACCGCGATACCTACTCGGTGCAGTCGCAGCGGAAACTTTGCGGGGCATCGCCGTCGGCCATAGATCTTCTGCCGTCTCCTGGTGCGGGCGCTGAGTGGACGAAACCGCTAATATCAGACGAGGGTCACGAGTCGGACCAAATGTTCGAGTTTGACGGCAGCAGCACGGCCGTTTCGATACCGAACGCCGTATTGGACCATAACTTGCCGCCCACCTTTACCATAGCCACTTGGATGCGACACGGGGAGCACAACGGACAAGACAAACACATGAAGGAGCACATTTTGTGTTCTGCCGATGACCACAGTAAGTATGACGTGGTGGTTCGCGGGTAACGATCGCATACCTCCAAAAATATCTGGCAAAAGATTCCTAAGTGGCAGTTGGCAAGCAACGTCGTCTTTTTCGCTCTCTCAAATGCCTCGTTGATCATGATAATGCAGAATAGAAACCAAGAGATCGAGTTTCTGGAGAGGACAATGCTGCTGAACAGAGATACAGATGATTTTTTTGGATTTATTTATTTATACCGATAAAAAATATTTAAATGAAATGTTTTTGTTTGTAGACAATTTTATAAAATAACTTTTTGACATTAAATAAAAACCAAAACAAAATCAAAATAAATATTGGAAATGTCCGTATCCAAAAATAAAATTTGACACCCTGTATCTGGACGGTAGCGTCTTAGTAAACCCTAAGTTTATGGCAACGTTTTACCTTAAAACTCACCCTGTAAAATATCGGACACGTATTAAATAACACCCTGTATATTTCATCCGCATTAACCTAAGCTCTCCATGTACGAACTCGTGTGATTCAACATCTCCGGTCTTTGTTGTTTACGAATTGAAGGCACTTTTGTCCATGTATTTTTGGAGGTTAGAAATGGTGTAGATTTAGTCGACAGTGACGTAACCCGGGCTCTTTTTTGTAGGTCCCTATCCGTATCATAAAACTTTCGGTAAGATGAGTGGTGACAAAAGTTTTTGCCTTAATCCATTTGGACACTAACTTTCGGTAGTGAATAGGATAAATTCTAACGAACCCAAAACGTATGGAACGCTTCCATTGTCCCCGCTAACACAATGGCTCGAATTTAATCCCGAATTTTCTGTCTGAATTTTAACAGTTTGAAACTTTGCATGCGATTTGACGGTGTTATCCTGGACAAAGGCTTTTAATTCTTTGTTTTGTCGGTTTTATCTTTAAGGCGTCGACGTGGACACGGAAAGTTGTACAGGGTGTCTCTTGGTTGACGGATCGATCTAAATTATTTTCAGCGTCGCTGTATCGATGTCGGTTTCTAAATGCAGTGAATGTTTTGCATTGTTTTATTTGCGCTGCCACTTGTTTTATCGGTTTTCGAGATGTTATTAAATTTACTTTTTTTTTTCAGTTCAAAAAGACCCCGATCTATTTTAGAAAAAAAAATTAATACCAAACTTGTAGGTTTTAAAGTATAGCCTAGTACATCAAAATTATATTTTTTTGAATTCGGAACCCTGTATATATTTCTTAAAAAAGAAAGGTCCTTGTACGCTGTTTAATTATGACAGAGTTGTGACGTATCTTGAAGTTAGTACGAATAAATAGTTAACCTTTCTCATTTAATCGTCACATGGCTATCTTACATATTTTTCAAATAAACTTACACAGACTACTGTAATACTCAAGCAATCTAATAATCTTAACCGCGAATCAGGTCTTTACCTGTCACCAATCTGGCCCTCATTTAGCTCCGCCCCCCTCAATTCAATATAAAGGCAGGTAGGGAATAAAACGCGAGCCAGTTTCAGTCAAGCTCTGAAGAAGCCAACAGGATGATTGGCGAAACGTCAGCAGTTTCGACTAAGCAAAAACCGACGCCGAAGGAATCCAGAAGTTTTATAAAAAAATATCTTACGGGTGTACCAGAATAATTCGATTTTTATAGAAAAGTGTTTTTGATTCTTTCTCGTTCTTCTGATCTAGATTTACTTAATGCGAATAGGGTGCGTTTTTTGTAACCTAAGAGAAAACACTTTATATAATTAAGTCAGTGTAGCGCCCGAGAAAAGATAATCTTTAACAAAATAAATAAGTACTAAAAGTTCAGATTTTCACTGTACATAAGATAAAGACACGGTGTTGTCTCTCTCTCTCTCTCTTTCTCTTTCTCTTTCTCTCTCTCTCTCTCTCTCTCTCTCTCTCTCTCTCTCTTTCTCTCTCTCTCTCTCTCTCTCTCTCTCTCACAGAGGTCCAAGAATTTGGCACTGCTGAAGTAACGTTACCCAAATCTGATGTGCCTAAGCAGCGTAGCTTGAAATTTGAAATGAAATTTGCTAAATCAAATGTCATAGAACTAGCAAACCATAAAGAAACTTCAAGGAACATAAGGTTTTTTGTAACGTATTCTAAATATATAAAGTAAATCATATATGCCATGTGAATATATGGCTCCTTTAGTGGTAAGGAAAGGTTTTTATACCTATATCGAAAAAAATGTTGCCAGTTTTGTGTGAGGGAGTTGTGTAAACTGGTGTTCTACCCCAGTAACAAGACGTTAGATTTTAGTCTGTTTCTCGAAACCCGATTATGATGGATAGAGGGATATATTATATACAAATGACCAGCAATTAAGCAATATACAGGACAAATCGAAATTGTTGCTACTTTTCGATAGAACCGGCAACACCGGTCGCGAAGATTGAAAAACTAATGTTCCATCAGCCACCCTGTACAAAAGGTATTCGCCGCACCGTACGTCACTTATTTTTCACCTCCATAAAACGATCGATGTTGGCGAAACGTTAACCTTACCGTGGGGGGTGGAAGCGTTTGGCACCCGGCCAGCTGTTATAATGAGCTTTTAATGCAAGGCCGGAAATATTGCCTTTTTCCGAATTGATTTGTAACGTCACCATTTTCCGCTAAATATCGCTCGACATTTGCCCCGATACCGCGGGGGTTTTGGCCTGATTTTTCTTGTTTTTCTTTTTCTTTATCCGCTCGGAAAGACGCACGTAGTCGTTTTTACTTTAAAGTTATTTCCTGACCGTAGAATTCATAAAGGTTATAGAGTTTCGTTGGTTTTCTCAGTCAAATAAACTCGAAAATAAAAATTTATCGGGTAAATAAAATTTTTGACTTTCTGAAATGGCCACCAGAAGGCGTAATTATTATTTTGAATTTTAAAACTCCGTTTCTACAAAAATTGGTTAAAATGGTTATTATTTTAGAGGCAAATTCAAACGATTTTTGGTGGGAGAGTGTTCAAAAATTTTCATTAATAAAAGATCTCCAAAAAGGCTTAATGCATTTTAATAAACTTGGAGTCGTTAAAAAGGGCGTTTCCTAAGGTATCAATCGTGTTATGAGTGACGCGGTAGCTCTAACTTTTTTATGTTATCAGATAGTTAAATAACATTGCCATTGCCCAATATTTACTTAATAAAATCCTTTTTTTCAAATTGTTTTCAATTATTGCTTCAAATAAGTATCCATCTTCGGGTTCTACAACAATTTATTTCAATTTTTCTAATTTAATTTTGTGTTTAAAATTAACGGGCTCATTCTTCACGAAAACAAATTCTTTAATTTCGATAAGATTCTCATAAAAAAAATCATTGAAATTTCATCATCACTTCGATTAACACGATTCTTCGTGAAATTTGGAATTTGGAACATGGATTCACTAGTTCGAGAAGCGACATTTTCCTTCATATTTTTTTTAATTTAAAACCGAAGCGCGGCCTGATATCCACAGTTTAACGAGCGTAGCGATTTTTAGTTTAATCACTCGTGTATTAATTATTCACCACGTATTTCGATCTGTTAAGGTGTTCTTCCTGCCAAAAAAACTCTTAGTAAATTTAAAAGAAAATAATAAAATTGCCAACGAGGAAATGTGGTTTGTGTAAAACCAAGAAACTGGACCCGAAGACATCCGAAGACCTGAAAGCTCCATGATTTTTCTTACCTACTACGCACAATCTATTTATCATTTTCGGCGGAGATAATTTATTGTTTATTTTATTACTTGCTTTAAATGATTTTAATATCATCATCTTCTTCTGCAACAAACAGTTTCCGAGACGCAGCGCCCTGAATTCTTAACCGGGAACCTGGGATGTTTTTTCTCCACGCTCATCATCCCGACTCCAAAAACTACCCGAAATTTTCATTACGTTAATTTGCAGAAATGAACAGGCACCATTACGCTCTGTTCGTGCGAAACTGCCGTCTGATCCTGTTGCTGCGACGGGACTTTTCCGAGGGGGACCTGAACATATTCAGACCCGCCGAATGGAGGTGGAAGATCTCGCAGGTAAAGCCCAATAATTTACTCTTTTCACGTCAAAGTTTTAATTAGCACCTCCGGCGAATGAAGTTTTAATCGAACTTGTAGACACGTTGCTAATAAAACAGAACAATTTCGCCGAAATTTACCAGAACAAATTTCAACTTGTCGCAAAGTTTCGCCGGCACCATATATTTTTCCCTCCCCTGAAAGTTTCAGGTCGTCTTTATTGGTTTCTAGTTTCCAACGGATTTCTTTACAACCCACAGGTGCCTTTCGCTCCTAAAGTTTCCCGTTATATTTCTTATTTCTATACAGGTATGCGATGATCAATGGCACCATTACGCAATCAACGTCCGTTTCCCCGACGTCGAGCTCTACATAGACGGGCAGCTATTCAGGGGCGAGAAGAAAAACCCAGAAGTGATCGATGACTGGCCCTTGCACCCGACAAAAGGCATCAACACGACCCTTACGGTCGGCGCATGCTGGCAAGGGTCGGACAACAAAATGAAGCACCACCTCAAGGGCTATTTGGCGGGATTGAGCGTTCTGGTGAAAGAGAACGAGAAACCGGAAGTGCTGAGCTGTCTCCATCAATGCAAGGAAAGCCTGCAGGTGCCCGGCATGGAACTACTTCAGCCAGGAATGGAGCTGCTGACCAATTCCGACCTGACGGAAGTGACGGTCGAGGGTGACAATCGCACCAATTTGGAAATTTTAGTCCGGAAAATTGGTTACGCCAACACCCGCGAGTTTCCGACTCCGGGAAGAAGAAACCTGAGACTAACCACCACCGTTACCTGCGATAACGGAAAAGCGATCAAGGTAATGACTTTCGGGGTTTCAAACCTTCTCCATGGGTGCGCTCGTCTTGAGGGGGATGCATGGATTCAAGTTTCGAATGCAATCGATTTTTTGGTGATCTCAAGGGCCTCTTCCCTTCATTACTTGCACTCCTGACGTTCGCAGATGACAATCAAATATATTTGCAATTTGAAGCGGATTAGATTATTTGCCTGTTGATCTGATCCGTAATTCGTCAAAGACAAGTGTCGTATTATTTGGTAGTCAGAGTAAAAATCAACAACTGATGATCCGTTAAAAACAGTTCCAAAAATCTAAATTCAATCATAAAGGGTGTTTTTTTTCGATATAACTTTAAGTTGCAATAAAACAACGATTACATTTTAAATATGATTTCTGGCATATGATCGCCACGGCTGGCGCGGATGTATTCCAATTTTCGATGACTTTTTCCAACATTTGTGGCCGTATATCGGCAATAACACGGCCAATGTTGTCTTCCAAATGGTCAAGCGTTTGTTACTTATCCGCATAAATAAATTTTTCCTGACAAAGGTCCCGGATGCCCAGACCTACGTAATGGTACTTAGGCCACAAACGCCCAGTATCAACTTAAACGGTACTGGCAACATGGCGAGGAAGTACGAGGACTTTAGAATGGGCGTGCGCGTTTTGGCAGACATTCACATCACAGGCAAGCTGCTGATGATCACCGTCGCCAGCTTTAAAATAACTAGCCATCATTTTAGGAGAACAAAAGCTGGACAAGTGCCAGCTTACCATCTACCCCAACCTCAATCCTGACCACGAGAACCTCAACGTACCCGAAGAATTGCTTAAACGTTTCGGGATGGCCGCTAGGGTGTCCAAAGACGGGGTTACCGTTAGCGGATCGGACATGGTCTTCAATTACCAGCAGGTGTTGAGACAAATCGTCTACACCAACAGGAAGCCCGCATATTACCTTAACAGGGTATTCAAGCTGACTTGCTCGGAGTTGAACGGACGATTTACCAGCAACGAATACGTCCAAACGGTAAACCCACTCCAGGTTTGATAGGCTCGCGCCCTTGAACCCGCTTTGTCTTCGCAGCTTACGGTGATCCATCCGCAACCGAAGGAGTCTATAGTGGCCCACGCTAAAGTAAACAAGCACAACGTCGAAGTGAGACCAGCCTCGGTGGTTTCCCACGACTACGTGCAAGCTACTCGTCTCAATCTGATGGCCACGGGTGGATCGCACGCGGTTACCATAATCGTGGTGGTCTGCGTCGGGTTTTTGTTGTTTATGATCGTGTTGGGAATCATCAGGTACGTTTCGCGGCAAACGTAGCGACGCGCGCGCATTGGTCAATTTTCGGTTCCAGGATTAGGGCTGCCCATCAAAGAACCACCAGCGAGGAGGCCCAGGACAGTGAAATGACTTGGGACGACTCGGCTTTGACCATAACTGTAAATCCTATGGAGGTAAAGTCTTTATTATTGATTCAGCTGTAAGTACGGCATTTGACGTACAATTTGGTGCACAATAGCGCGTCGAAATTGCTAAAAATACTTTATAGACCAAATAAAGCAAATTTCCAAACATTTCATAAAAACGTTAACAAAAGAGTATTGATGCAATTAAGTAGCAAGTCCTAAATGATCAGAACCCACAAAAGGGTTTTAAAACAGAGAACAATTAAAAGCATCAAACTGCAAAAACCATAAAATCTATGGTCAAAAAAAAATTGTACCCTATATGCCCTATTAGAATATAATAATAATAATAATAAATAATAAATAAAGTAATAACTAAACTCTATATAAACGAATTGGTGTATTGAAAAATGTATACCTTGTTACCTTCTAGAAATACCATTGTCGCAAGAGAAAACGCAAACACTAGTTTTAAAAATACAAAATCAAAAAAAAAAGATTTTAAAAGGTACTGAGATACTATTTACAAAACTTCTGGATTCCTCATGGTTCACTGAAACTTGCTCGCATTTTATGCTATACCCGTTTATGTATTTTTTTGGGGGTGGGGGGGGATTTTCGTTGGTACAAGACTCGATTACATGCAAGAATTTTAGTTTTATCAAATAAAATTTTATATCCGGTTTCGTGATTGTGTTCGGCGACATATTCCTGCCATCTCAAATGGAATTTTGTCTTTGACGGTTCGAAGATGTCGACAGTTTCAGTTAATCTCTGAAGAAGTCAATAGGATGATTGAAATTGAAGTTTGGTAAATAAGATTACAACAATCTGTGGAAGTTTCTTTGAAAAAAAAAAAATACCGAGATCCAACAAAACATTATAATAGGAAACTTTTTGGAAACAAAATATCTATTTCCTTAAATATTTTTAAGAAGTAAAGTTGAATTAAAGATAGGTTCACAGATGTTTAACTTTTTAAAAACATTGCTAAAATTGCAGTCCACTTATATATAATAATATATGAAACTTTGGACTGGCAGCAGCGGGATTAAAAAGTGAGGCAAATTTTACAATAGAAAAAGATGACTAGTAATGGGGATCGCAGTCTTTCTCTTGATGGTTTACCAGAACATGGGACATTCTGGTTGTTTAATTGTTTTATTTACCTATATATTTTTTCTGAATTATTGACAAAATAATCGAGTAATTTATTGGTCAGAAAATAATAGCATTTTGTCAGGAATATTATTTATTTAAAAAAGACAATCCAGACACATATTTAACAAAATTTTCGTTATCATGAAAATGTTTAAATCAAATTAACAATTTTTGTTATTACTTGGAAATGCTGATTATGCAGAATTATATTCATAATATTTATTTAGATAACTCAATGACTTATGCAAAATGCAATGCAAATATTTTATTTACGAAAAAACTGAGCTTTCTTTTCCTAGTTACGTAATTACCATAATGTTAACACCCATAAAGTAAGGTAGTTCAAGTATTATTTATTTCAAAAAATACATCACAGACGCATATTTAACAAAATTTTCGTTACCATGAAAATGTAACAATCAAATTGACAATTTTTGCTTGATTTTTAATTATATTTATATTATTTATTTAGGTAACTCTGGCAACGTCAGCTGTAAATATTTAATTTACCAAAAAAACTAAACTTTCTTTTGCGAGTTACGTATATACAATACTGCAACACCCGTAAAGAAAGGTAGTTCAAATGACCTCCCGCGTTCCTTTGCCGCATTTTCCGCCAAATTGGTGCGTCGAATGTCGGCCCTCCTAGGTTCACGCAGCACGTAGCCGTCCCGTCGGTCGCACTGTACCCCCAAACCTTATAACTTGCAATATCGTAGGACTTCATTTCCCAGAACGCGGAAGGCAAGTTGGCCCGTAATGCCGGCTGTCGATCAGGCGACTACAGCGAATCGGAACAGTCCGATTCCGAAACATCTTCAGACGAGGAGGGACCGGTCGAGGGACGTTGCCGTATCCGCGCAGACTCTTCCGATGAGGACGAGGACGAGGAGGCCATGCCTCCGTCATCGAGGCGCAAGCGCGACTACCAGAACGTGTCGCAACTCGAATGGGACAACAGTACGATGTAAAGGGGCGGGGAAACGGCGGCAGTCAAAGTAGGTCGGTCGGGGTGGATTGTAGGAAGGGTTGTTCACCACATTTGGCTACTAATTTCGGCATACATAAATTTAATAATGAGTTGTACATAACTGCTACAAGTACGATTCACACCGCCGCAATAGCGTTAGCAGTCGTCCCAGACCCCGCCCACCACCCCTACCCGGACACCCTATGCGCTGTATGACGTGTTGACGGGAGCTTTTGCTTGTGCCGTAGGAAGGCACCGCGCTTGGAGGACGGCCGTCGTCGGTCTTCTTAAAGTCGTTTCATTCGCATACCCCGCGTGAAGTCACGAATTGTTCGAAAAAGCGATATTTTATTTCTCCATCGTCGGTATTAAATATAGAAAGATCCGGAACAAGAAACTGTTTAGTCCAGCATCTATTATCTTTAATAACTCCGAGACCTTAAATATATAACATAAACAGAATTCATTTACACATTCCCTTCGTGTGTGTTGAAGTAAATTTAACGTGTAAACAAAAATGTTGGGTTACTGCGCTAGTTAAATTTAGTGAGTCGGCGACACAAAAGTCCCTAGATTTCTCTACTGTTGCAAGAATCCATATCTTTTGGAATGGGACGAGTAGTTCAAATGAACAGGCATTTATATTCCACGCACCTGCGTTAATATACGGATATTTTTATTCCTCAATATTAAATAATTAAAAATAATAAAATTGCAGACTTCTCTTATGTTGGGGTAGGGTCCGTATGGTCAGCGACTTCACGAAGAACTTATCGAGCAGCGTCGCGACAGCGCGCAATCAAATTGATATCAACAATAATCGTCCATAAAATTAATGTTAGAGAATATAGTATACAGTATGTTGTACAATGTACTCCCTATTTGCGCACTTCTATGATTTTCCTCTCTAGTTAGTACCTCGCTTTTAGGATACGTCGAGGCTGCCAAGCCGCGTCGTACCCTAGAACCAATGTCTCCTTTTTAGTTGCTTCGCATTCGCGTTTTCCATTCATATTAGTATAGAGTTTTGATACAACCTGGTTTAGTATTTATTGTTTTTATGACTTTACATTAAGTAGTTTGTACTTAACTAGTTCTAAGCTTGATCCCCACGCGCCCAAATCTCACTAATATGTCCGCCATATCAATTTTTTACACGAGTGCAATCACATCCGGCTGTTTGTTTGAATTAATATTATTATTAGATTTTGTAAAGTTCGCACTTCGAATTCTAATTCCTAGAGGACGCCACGCACCGTTTTCTTCCCCCCTCCCCCACCACTCCCTCCACCTAGTGTCGGTGTTCATAAATATCTTTTTTACTCGCACAATACTTGTACTCCGTGTTTCTTTTCTCGAGCAGATAGAAATTAAAGATGGTGTATATACATTCAAGCAGCTATAGGATATTTTTTTGTATCGTAGTCGAAAGGATTAAAATTTTAAAAAATGGGTACTTAATTATATGAAATTACCAGTCTCGGAGGCGGAGCTATTTGTCCGCCCCCCGGGTACGCTTAAGAACAAAATTTCATTTTTTTTCTTTTCGTTTCGAGTATAGAGCTGAAAGTGAAACGTTTTGACGCAATATTCGTAGTAGGACGTCGTATTTAACGCAATATTGTTAAAGCAAAAAAAGTGTTGTTTAAATGGTTTCATCCCTTGCGTTCGATTTTTGACAGATAATGTTTAGAGTAGATCACTGTGATTAACAAAAAAGAAAGGTAAATTTTCGACCGGAAAATGTCGCGCCATTGGTTTTCCCGGGTTATGACCTACATGTATCGACCCTTTTTTGTGTATATAAAGTAGTTGGTTGTTAACTGAGAAATTTTACATTATATTGTACGTTGATGTGTCTGAAAACCTACAACTTTGGGGAACGAGGGCCAATGGCGTGCGGTTTTCGGGACGACAACGGAACATACTATTTTTTATCGAAATACGTAACGTTAATATGACATTCCATAATGGTAAGCTTCGACGCCGGGTCACAGTTTGTCGTCAGGCGGACGACACGTCAATGAAACTCTCCGGCGGCCGATCGGGATTTTTTCTAATTTTTAAACTAACGTTGTAATGAACAATTAAAAGCTTTTTTGTGTGTTTAAACGTAAGAAATCAGAATCAAATAACCATGTCTTTTTAGGTGTAAAATCACAATAATTATGTAATGAATAAATGTATAAATACGGAAGTTGTTTTATTTATTATACATTTAACAATAATTAACAAAATAAACAGTATTAAGCGTGTAATGTTTAAAAAAAAAATTAATCCCTCACTTTTTAACATCCAATAGTTCAGGTGGAGGACAACATCCACTGCATCGACAGTCCTTAATGGTCAACCCAAATAGTGGAATCAATTTTCATAAAACTGGACAAAAATCTCAATTCTCTTAACTATCTACCTGGTTATCAGATACTTTAACAATAATTGCAACAATTATTCCTATCTAAAGCTTCAAAATATGCAATAACTCACATTAAAATCGGACATACACTACGCATCAAAATTACCACCCCAATAAAAATTAATAACAAAATAAATTCCTCTCTAAACACCAAACAACACAAGTTATATCAAAATTTTATGTTTCATGGACTCCAAATCCTCGCCCATCAATTTGAGAAACTAAATTACGGAAGTTTAAATATTCGGTACCCCCCTTAATTTTGATGCGAACTGTATGTGGTAATATATAAATAACAAATTTTTGAACAAATGTTATTTATATATTTCGTTGTGGAACATATAAACGGCGCAATATACGACTTTTTTAAATGTTTATAACACTTTAATTGTCAATTCTCAAGCTCGGTCGATTACGTAACTTTTTGACGGCGCAAGTTACACAATATTTTTAATATTTTAAAGTTACATATTTGCTACTTCATAAAAATGGCTCGTGAAAAATGCATTCAATCGGTTAAAAATCGTTTAAATTCCTAATTTAATTTGTATTATTTCAGTTAAGGTCGCGTTTCCCTTTCATTTGAACTACAACTCTAGATGAGCCCCGAAAAACAAAAGCTACAAAAATTATTAAACCGGTATATATATATATCAGACTTCAATGGGGTTAATTAGTGAGTAAACGTCAGTGGTGAATATAAAAAATATTTACAAAAAATAGTGAGGCTTTCAAATGACAGACTTTGAAAATGTGCGTGTAACCTGGCTATGCCCACAACACAGGGACTTATCCAACCAACATGCGCATGCGCGAGATTTAAAATTTTATTATTAACCAATGACCTAACTAACTAACCAACATGGCCGCTGACAGATTGTCAATAAGTTTGTATGCGGAATTTTTACGAAAGTGTTTTGGTTAGTTTGTTGTATTTTCTCAAAATATGCCTAGATCTCGTTAAAATGTTTTCGAAAAAAGAGTTAAGTGTGTGGAAATCGCTGGTTAGAAAGAAAATGGCGCAAAATGTGCAGAAAATCATAACCTTCTCTACGAAAATATCAATGCCGCAGCGGCGTATTAATTTTTACAGTAGGGGAGACTGGGGAGACTTAATCACCCAGTAACAAATCAAAAACTAAACGCTTTTTCTAATTTTTATATTGGCAACATAGGTCTTTGTTGCCTATGGTGAACCAAAATTTTTTATTTTTCTGTGTCAACATTTGTTTCGGTAAGTTTTTCATTTGCTTTTTTTTTAATAACTGAATGAATAATTCACTGAGTATGTGTCAAAATCATTGATAGTAGTTTATTAAAGTTTGCATTAACATGTATTTTATTTAATTAACGTTTTCTCTTGACATGAACAAAAAATATTTTTTAAAAGAGCACTCCCGGGTACAGTTGATCAGTGATCAAGTGTCCCATACATTCAATTTGTCAATTTTCTTTTTTCGTTTGTTTTAGATTAATTATAAAATGGGAAGAACATATAAAAGAAAAGAGGGTGCAAAACCGCGTATACGTGTTGACCCACAAATTCTTAAAGAAGTTGTTAACGTTGTTGAAGTGGATCAGAGGTACCGCCAAGATTGTTACTTTTTGATTAGATAAGTTTTAGACCTTGCAATGCAAATGTGTGATATGAATACCTGATGTTATTAGTAGTTTCTAGTTGTCAAAGTTATTTATGTTTGTTACATTTCCTTGAGATTAATATAAAGAGAGTTAATGATAGTTATGGGACACTTGTTCCTTTTGGAAAGTTTTTGGAAAATGCAAAAAATAAATAAAGCACTCATAAATATGATAATCAAACAATGGGAACAATAATAAACAATATTAATTACCTATATATGTATGTATTATTTTCATAGAACTAAATTTGATAAAAATATAAGCAAGAAACCAAAATGGTGATCAAGTGTCCCCAGTTTCCCCTACTAGGGCCGCTTTATGATCTAATGCTATATGCTTGTTAACCATATAAGTAAAATTTTCATTTACAGCTAGTGGTACATGAAAATTCCTTTCGAAAGACATTGAGGGTAGAGCAAGTTCGCCCTGCACCCGCTACGACTACCGTGACCGATATATTGACATATTATGTCAATGCCCGGCTGTGGGAAATACTCAAAACCCCCTTTAAACGACAGTTGAAGGCTGATAAACGGGCAGCACACGGTAACCTAAAACCTAACTCGAGAACAAACCAGCGATCATTCAAATGAGTCAATTCCCGAGAAGTAGTTCAAATGACCCGAAAACCAAAAAACACCGCCGGTTGATAGATAATTCCTTATCTCTTCTAAACGTAAACGAGGCATAGAGAATACATTCGGAAACACTCTTAGACGCTAGAAACGGTTACCTCTCGTTTGTCACTCGAACGCGGCATACAACAAAACGGCAGTATATTCGTAACCGCGATCCTCCGCCGAGGACCGTTGTTAATTGCTGCTCTTGGGTTTCCTGCGGGTCTCTTGCACCGCGGCCACGATACTCTTGACCGCCTCCTCGTGTCCCTCGAAACTATCCGTCTTCCTGAGCGGCCCGACCGGATGAGTGGGCGCGCTTAACTTGGCCTGGCACACATGGTGCCTTTTGTGTTTCGGCGGGAACGTCTCCCAACTTCTCTGCTTCTGCGCCAAAGACATGGGTCCGCCCTTGTTACGACGGTTTATCACCACCACCAAAGTCTTGTCTTGATCATCGCCGCCGTCCAGGCTGGAGCGTCGCGAAGATGTCGACAATGAATCGGCGGAGTCGTTCATGGAGTAGAAAACGTTCTCCTCGCCATCGCTGTAGGGGTAAACTTTTTTCTTGGTTTTTTGCTGCATTTTGCTCTTGTTCTTGCACTTGGGACTGCCGGGGCTCGAACGGGTCTCGCGAACCTGCGACGTAGCGTCCGATATTCGTTGATACTCTGACTCGCCCCTAACTTTCTTCATGTCGTGTTCCGGCGTCATTTTGGTGGCGGTCGCGGTAATTTTATCGCAACTTTTGCCGATTTTCTTGTAGAGGATTCTCTGTTTCATACTCAATTTGCCTGAAAATCAGCTGATGTCTGATTCTTGTCAACCATGTCAAGATTGGGAGAAATTCAAAAGGTAGTTCTGACAGATATAAAAACAGTAAACTCTCCATATATAATGGTCTATACGTAACCCAACGTCATACCGTTTTTACGACATAATCGGGCGTCTGACTTTGGTAAATTTTTATGAAGGTCCGTATCTCATCTAAATATATGATGGGGAAGTTTTTAGAACGAATTTCTTGAATTTCTCTCAAATGTCCCGTGCTTTGCAAGAGGTTGGTCTTAAACTTATTCCGAGGTCAAAACCATATAAGGTTGTAAAAACGGTATATCGTTTGGTTAACTCTACAGAAACTAATTAGAGGTTAGGTTTTGTTTGTAGGTTCTTGCTTGAAGTTCCGGAATTACAATTTATCAACAAAGAGTTATGAATTACACACATTCCCGTTACGCCAAACTAATAATCATTTTCAGAAATTTATTTGTATAAATCAATATCTTCTAAAAAAATATGTATTTTATGTTATTCTTTCCCCAGAACGATTTTTTTAGAATTTTGATACTCAGATTCATCCAATAACATCAAAACAGAACTGTTAGCAAATGACGAGGGAGCAGCAAACCAGTGGTTTGAAATTAGATTAAAACTCCTATAAACAGTGAATACCAATTGCGCATACTCTAAACACCCAAACAATTTTCAAACTAATGTGAAAACAAACCTATTAAATGCCCACGAGAAAACAGCACCACCTTTTGTTTTTTTTTTTAATTAATTCCCAAAAAGTATATAGTTTGATCGCAATGAGCATTAAAATTGGGCAAGTTTGCAAAGTTCACATAAAAGGTCTTTTCAAAAACCAAGGTCCAGGCACATTTAAAAATCCAGAGGGGCCCAAAACCGCTTAAACTGGGACCGAAAAACATTTACAAATTCATCGTAATGCTCTACAATGCGTAATTTTCTTATTTTTGAAAATTTTTTTACGATTTTAGTCGTAACATTACTTTGCAATAAATTATACAGTAAGTTTCAAAAAGCATTTATTCGTTAAGAAAAAGTTCATACATGTACGTCCGAGATTTTAAAAATTTTAGAAAACCTGATGGCGGTAGTGTTCCTCCTTGACTTAAGTGTTTTAATAACTAAATTTATATTGGAAGAATCCAAAAAAAAAAATGTTTATAAAAAATTTTTAGTTTAGTTAAAGAAAAAGTAAAAAAGCCAGTGGCGCACATCCGTTTGATGTTGAGATAACTCCCTAACTGGCACCAGACCTAACAATTTATCATTTTAAATTATATTTTACATATTGTAAAAAAACGATTTTTTAAAAATATTTAATAAAGGAACTTTCTTCTTATTGAATCGTCAGGAATTCACTGTCGCTGTGACTAACAACACTGTTCTCTGGCGGAAAGTTTATTTTATCTGACAAAATTTCGCTTACCAATATTGTCTATTTCGCTTTTACTAAATTTCCTGTCTTCCTGTTTGATTTTTTTCTCCATTTCCGTATCCGACTTGGAAGAGGGCTGACTTTGTCTGCGGCACATGATATCGTGCAGCTTCTCCTTTATCTGTGCCTCCAACCTAGAATAGATTGATCCCCTTATAGCCTGCCGGGTCTCTCAATAATTTTTTATGGTACCTATCAATATTCATTTGTTGATTACTTGACATAAATGGCTTTTTCATCGCTTTTTGGGGCGCTTCGCTTGGCTTTTCCGTCTGGCCGGCCGATTTGCTCCGCTCCCGCTCCTGAATATTGGGCCGGACTTTTTCCAACAGCTGACCCAAGACCCGGCTCCTAGATCGCGGTATTTTACCGACACCGGAGTCGGTTTGCTGAAGCATTCCTATAGCGAAAATCACCTCCACTAGTACGTTACCATGACGACCGAAGCAGATATGTCAATAGTTAAAGCAAAATGGTGCTGATTACTGAAGAACTGGTCCGTAAAAAAGCGGAACACAACGAAGGCCTGATCGGCACGTTAGAAGAACTCTCCCTGCATCAGGAGGACGTGGAGAAAATTGAACACCTGGATAAGTGGTGCAGAGACTTGCAAATTCTCTATCTGCAGGCGAACCAAATATCAAAAATCGAAAATTTAAACAAGTTAAAGAAGTTGGAGTACTTAAATTTGGCGATTAACAACATCGAACGTATAGAAAACTTGGAACGGTGTGAATCGCTGCAAAAGCTGGACTTGACTTTGAATTTTATTGGCGAGTTGGAGAGCGTGAAAACTTTGCAGGCCAACACACAACTAAGGGAGTTATATTTGACGGGTAAAATGTGTTCGTAGCGGCCCTACGAAATATCAACCATCGTTTCGTTTAAGGAAATCCTTGTTGTGACTTTCAAGGTTACAGAGAGTATGTGGTGGCACACCTGCCACAATTAAAAGCACTCGACATTAAGGAGATAACGAGAGGCGAACGGATTAAAGCCCAACAAAACCTAAAACAAGTCGAAGAAACTATATGGAAATGCCAAGCAAAATATATGTATGTTAAGAACCCAACTCGATTTTTGTCGTTAAACCTTTTTGCAATTTAAGGGCATCTCGATCAGAGCAGAAGCTGAGGTTAACGTCGCAAAATAACTCCCACCTTACCGATGATGAATTCTGGAAGACGGTGAGCGAAAACAGTCCGGAAACACGTAGAGAAATATGTGCCAGGCAAAGGAAAGGCAAATCGGCTTTGAATACCGCGAAAGCGCCTACCAATAAAGTTAGACTGTTCAATAAGGACGGGCGACCATTGAACGTTAACCAAGCAAGGCTAGAATTCAAATTCTCCGATGAAGATCCTGAGAAGTTCGTCCTGGACGTTGCGGTCTACAAATATCTGGATACTAACCTGATCGACGTTGATCTACAGCCGATTTACGTGAAGCTGACTATAAAAGGAAAAGTATTTCAAATCGTTTTTCCTGAGGAGATCCACGTGGAGAAGAGCGCCGCGCTACGGTCACAAACTACAGGTTTCAAAGTATATAAATGAACCCCGAAATTTTTATATATGGCGATCGTCTTTGCAGGCCACTTACTACTGACTCTACCAAAAATTAATTACAAAGCGCCAATCAAATCGGAAAACAACAGTAGAACGATAAAACCTAAAGGAAATAAGCCGAACAGGGAATTTTTAGAAGTAAGGAAACCAAAAGAGGACATGGATTTTAGCAAGATAGTAGAAAACTATGGAAAAGGCAGGCAATCCTTTGAAGACAACCCCGAAGTACCGATGCTTGAGTACGCTTAATATTTTTGTAAATAAATACACTGACAAAAACAACTAACCTCACTTACCTATGTGCTCGAGCAGCGACGCCAACTGCTGTGCCTGATCACTTTGGCTCGGCTCGCCGTGCGAAGATGATTGCAACTGGGTGGGCTGCTGGTTTTGCTGCGCAGGAGTCAGGCTTCTTATGTACGGCTCCAATTGGGCGGCCACCTAAAATTAACTCAATCAATCTTCCAAACACTGAAAACTTTCTATTAAAGAAAGGAACTTACCTGACTCAAGTGTTTGAGTTCATTCCTTAGAGTGTTGACGTCAGCCCGCTGGCAGCTGAACACTTCTTGCTCGATACGGAGCCGCCACAGTTGTTCCTCCCAGGATGCGTCGAAACTGGATGCCATTCTCTCCAATTCTTGTTGTTGCCTGGATTAACAACTGCATTAAAATTGCGAACAGAAAAAAGATATAAATCTGAAACCTACCGTTCTAAGGTCTGATCCAAATGTATGCATTCTCTGACTAGAAGGTCATAACGGGCCACTAGAGGGGGAGACTGAGCTTTTCTAAGAGCAGTTAAGTCTCTAAACAAACGTTTATTTTTAGCTACTTTTAATATCGATTAGACGAAAACAAGGTGTAATGGTCCCTATTCAATTATCATTGAACTACTAAGGTCTACCGAAAAAAAAAAAAAGCATACTACTCACTTATGCAAATCGCCGACCTTCTCCTTCACCACATTGAATTTGTGATTGAGCTCTCTAATTTGGGACTCAAACGAACGACAATGGGCCGAAAATGATGAATCCCCTTCCAGAATCTTACCTTTCAGCGAGGTCTGCTGCTTCTTTGTTGCTGGAGGTGCTGTATCATACAATCTTGAAGCTTTAAACAGATACCAATGATTCAAAGCTTGCCAAATCTTAAAAAGGCATTGGCCTGAACAATCCAGTAGTTTTAAAAATTCGAATTCACTGACTTCCAGGTTTGCCCTAACTTAGAATTTGTATTTCTCGGACAGTCTAATAATTTACAAAAAAAAAAAAAATGTGGAAAGGTGTCGAGACACATATCGGGCTACAGGAAAGACAAGAATTAATACAAACCACATTCAATGCGAAAATGGAAAATTCTATAGCTTAAATCATCAAAAAGTCAGTGTTAACACGGTACATTTGAACTACCAATGAAACATTATCAAAACAAACTCAACAAAAATCACTTACTTGCAGCCAGTTCTGATTGATGTTGAGAGACGGCGGCAGGGCCAATCCAAGCTTCCAAAGACTGAGCGAACTCGCATCGGTAGTTAGTTTTAATCTGGGATGATTGCAGCGACCTGTAAATATGCCTAGAGTTTTGCACAATTATCAAATACTTCTTCTATTTCTAACCTCACGGGTTGACTAAGTTGCCCCACTGCCGCCAGTCTATCAATCAACGATGGACAAAGTTCCAAAAACTGATACTTATTGGCAGCGGCCGTAAATGTAGTGCAAAGTACCAAATGAAGCTGCAAAACAGGCATTACGGAACCCAGCAGCAGTAGTTGACTTCTATAAACCCGTTCCTTGCTGTCATACTGTCTCTGAACTTCCATAATCATAGCTGCGTGAGTTTTTGAAATTGCTTCCTGCATTCCCTGACAGAATGTGTTAATAGTGTGCTTTTCGGCATCCATATTTCGCCTAAGCTCTTCCATTAAGCCTTTCAGGGCTATTATGCCATCTCTTACGGACGTTTGCAGGTCCATAATGGCATTCTGCCCACGTTCTAACCGTTTCGCAGCTTGCGTATGAGCCGTATCTATATCTATACACTGAGTACGCATTTCGTTGGGTAAATCTCGGAAGCAGTTCACGCAAAGCATGGCGTTTTGTATGGGGGAGAACATTATGTAATGTTCTCCATGTTGAGGGCACTAAAAACCGTCCTTACAAAACCGTACCAAAATATTATTTGAAAGTACCTTTTTGGGTTCTTTCTGGCATTTCGACATATGAACTACTTCATGTGAAGCGAACATCTTGGCTCTGTGAGTGGTGTCTCGACAATGGGCACACAGTGCTTGTCCTATAGAAAATAAATATGACTAATATTTCACTCAGATAATTTAAGGGAAATATAAAGAAAAATATTAACTATACGTTTTTAAGTACGCCAGAAACATACGTCGCAAGCTACAATATATAGAGCGTCCCAAAAATCATAAGTCAAATTGCAGAAGGGTACAGAAGAGGTCGGCAACAGAAAAACAACGCCATTAACTTTGTCCTTTCACTGTGCCAGTTGTAAATGTTTTAAAAATTATTTGAGTGAATATTGAACATCGTCAAACATAACCTATGTTTTTTTACTAATTGCAATTTTGGCCCTTTTTTCGCGATTACATGTAACACCACAAAATTTGTTGTTAATTCTTAACTGTTTACATGAAAAATTTGATGTGTTTCGCTAAAGCTGAATTTGTCTATAACATTAACCACTATTATAAGAAGACTGAAGTGACTTCATATTTATGGCCGACATAAAGACCAATTCTAAAACCACATTTACTATTGGTTCATTTTATTAGGAGACCTAAAGGTGGATTCACACCAGCATCCAGTAACATTAATTTAACACTAATATTAACTAAAAATTAATGGTGCATGCTCACTGGCCAAGTGAGCATGCACGCAAGTGAGTTCTTTATAGTGACTAATTTCATTTTCGACCTCTTTCACATCACATAGCAAATAATTCGAAAATTTATTTTCAGTTGCATGAAATCGATTTTGGAATTAAAAAATTGTGCATATTCGATTTTACAGAAGAATTATTAAATAGTTAAAAGTTAGCTAACTTTTTAATGTTAATGGTTTGGTGCAGTTACTGTCCACAGGGATTCACTAAAGAATTAATTACTTTTTTTTACTCTAAATTTTTTGAATACTAATGTTACTTTCTTATAAACGTTTTGACCTATCAGATTTCAAATTTAATTTGCATGTTGTGTAAGTCAGTTCTCCTTTGGAATCCCTTATCCTAATGTAGTAATTGGAATCGGAAACATTGTGTTACTTCTGGCAGTCACCACACATTTCATGAATGACTGATACTGGTCTCTCTATAAGTCTATTTAATTTTGAAACACCCTGTAAGTTTGCGTTAAAAGTTCATGAAAAGCGATAAGTAAACAACAAACCAGAAAACAATAAAAGACACCAACCTAACTGAAAGAAAAATTAACCAAAACGAAAGTTAAGTTTTCTTAATACCGCATGTGTTGCAGTAGTACATGTTGGCTCGGTCGCGTTTATCGCAGTTACAACACGGCGGATTTTCGCTATTCGCAATATCGATGAGCTGTCTCATAAGAGTATCTGGTGGGGGAAGAGAAATGCCATCCTTTAAGAGGGTAGGTTGCCTGCAAGGAAGTTCAAATGTAAAGCGTGCAAAGTGCAAAAGTCTGAGTATGCACCTGCAGAAAGGGCACACAAGTTTTCTGTCTTGCTCGCGGCCCCTCAAGCACCTCGCGCAGAACGTGTGGTAACAGCTCAAAATGCACGGCTCGGTGAAGTAGTCGTGACAAATGGGGCAGAGCAAAGGATTTTTGGGAAATTCTAAACCGGTTTCCAAGTTGGGGGGCTCCATTTCGAAGTTGCACTTTCTAAAATATTGACCGAGACGGGGCCCTTTGAATAAATGCCACTTACTCCCTCCCTCACGCTCACCTGGCAAAGTAGATAATCCCGAAAAAGATAGAAATTTTAAAAAATCCACAACAAATTTGCAAGATTCATATTTGCAAAGAAATTGAGAGCCGTGTTAGGCCACCGAAACTCAAGCGTTCTTTATTTAACCCGCAAGTTAAAGGGACAAAATGGCCATTACGCATGCGTTCCGTTTGACCTACTTGGTTTTCGAGTGCATTCAACCTACTTAGCCATAGGCGTACTACGTATTTTTGGTAGCCTACACATCAAAATAAATCAATATTATTGGGGATGGGTTTCTTTTCGATAAACACAATTTTTTGCAAAGACATTATGTACTGAAAGAATTGCTAAATTTACATTAAAATAAAGGGATGTTTTAAATCAATCTGATGAGGCAGCACGCCGAACGGGCAGTTTGCGAAAATGGAAGTATCTGAAAAAAAAATTATTATAATAAACTGATTATTCTAAATATTTTAAATAATTTTGACAATAATTTATTCATTAAATGTAAAATATTTGCAAAACTATTTTAACATACCTTCAATTTTGGTCCATTTTTGTTGACCAACAATTTTTCTTACACATCTTGATACATTAATATTCGGACTGTTGCCAATACTTCCTAATGTATCTTCAAAGGTTTCTTCAAGGTTCAAATCATCCAATGTGAATATTTTATCAGTAACGTTCTTAATATCACTATTATCATGTTTAATAAGCGATAGGGTGTCAACAATGAAAGAATCAGAATTCTCATTATATTTTAACAACCTGAAAGTATGTAAAAGCTTTAGTAAAATGTGGATTATATAAAAGAAAGATTTAAAAAACCAGCACATAAATTCGCTGTTATAATAGCTTTATACCCTTATATGTAAAGGTTTATTTTCCAACTTTGCTTTGGATATAATGTTAATACAAACACAACTAAAGATGATGGAAAGTTACTTACATTTCAATGAAATATAAACTGTACGAGTTGAAAGACTTTAAAACTTGTTCTTGAAATCTGAGAGCCTCCTGAACATATGTGTCATATGAGTACAGTTCAATGTAATTAGAAATGCTTACATTTTCATTATCTTTGGAGTATTTTAAAGCAAACAGTGATAGAAGAATTTCATATATCCACAGTGCGGCAACACTTTTTAACGTATGTGAAACCTCTATATCTATAGTGATATCGTATAACTTGCCGATAAGCACAAACAGTAGTTTCTTTTCTTGCAAAATATTCAACAATTCACTCCAAAGTTTTTTAAATTCAACGTCAATTTTGGCGCTTTCAGGTTTTCCAAAAAGCAAGGCATTATCTGTAACCAGCACATTTTTAAGGCAATCACCGATACCACTCTTATTCTGGCCCAATGGTAAACTTTGTTTTATCATTTCTTCCAAAATTTCTACACCTACTGGTCCGTAATCTGACATTTGGATTATACTGCGTAATATTATGTTTTGAACTGCTTTCTCACTAATGCCCTTATTCTTAAATGACTCCATCTTAACTTGAACATATACTGATAAAAATACAGCTAAGTCTTCTGTGGCACATTCTTCAATGGCAACATAATCTAAAAAAATATATATTCCACATATAAGTGAATTTATTATTATTACAGCTGCTATACCCCTAAGAATATTGCATTGTGGTTCCCAATATTTCTCCTTTAACCACTGCAAACCATATTCAAGTCCCATTCTCAAGCTAGACAATGAAGGAATTTGGTGTCCATGAGCAATATCATGTCTCAGAATTATTAACCACTTAGGCAATTCGTTTTTCATTGAAGTCCTGGCAAAATCGCCTTGTTTTTCGCTGTTGGCCGCAGACAAATTCAAAAATCTAGAAAAGCAGATCTTCCGACTCCCGACCCTGTGAAGAATGATTGATTTACCTCATGATGCCTATAGCATAAAGATGACAAAGCTGCTCTACTGTTAACAGAGAATCATTCGTCAAAATGGCTTCTAAAATTACAAGGGTCCCTTCAACCCCAGCTGGTAGAACAGGAGTACGCAATTTCCACACTTTCAGCAAATCCAGTGCCTTAACCTGCTGCTCCTTATGATCAGAATACGCGTTTTCATAAACATAATCCCACTCGTTCCTAATGGAAATATTTGTACGCTTTAATTATTTCTTGCCAAATATTCTTACCTATTAAACCATGGCACTAAAGTCAAATTCGAATGCTTTTGCGAGAGAGACATTATTTTGAAAAAATCGCACAGAACAGCAAAATACTTCTTCTTATTCAGTGACACCAATGTCAAATGGGCGCCCTTACCAGACTATTTACCATTTCCGGCATGGGTAGATAATTAAATTTATGTCCTTTAGCATATAACAGATATTAGGCAAAGCTTCCCAATGAATCTAGAGCAAAGTACATATCATTACTTTTAAAGGGCAATTATAGATTTATGCATGCTTTCCTTGGACAATGTCAGTTCAAGTACCACGCGTCAAAACTATAAAAACTACGTTTCCGTTACTTATTTATCTATGGTAATGTTTTTCTTTTGTGGATAATTATGTCAATGTTTTAGAATCATGTTTTGAGGTATCGTAATATTAAATATTTGTTGCGTTGTAACGAAAAATTATTGTGGTTGGAAGTGGAGAATGACAGAAGACGAAAAAACTAAAAAGGCTGAAGAAATCTTGAAGTCGTTTCAAATCAACTGGATCTGCTTACGCGACGCCGACGGCGGCAAAGTTTTCTGGCAAGGCAAAGAGGACATCAGCCTTCCAGGCGTCGAGCATGAAGCTAGAGTACCTAAAAACATCCTCAAATGTCGTGCAGTATCTCGAGAGTTTAGTTTTAGGTAAAAACGAGGGTTTTTGGTTCAAACTTGTTAGGTTGTTGAATTATATTTTTTTGTAGTTCCAAGAAGCAAATTGAAAACTTTCGCCTGGAACAAAAGGTATTATTTAAGGGACGGTGTCTCGAGGAGTGGGACTTCGAATTTGGTTTTGTTATGCCGGAATCGACAAACACATGGCAGTCTATCATGGAGGCCGCTCCCGAATCGCAAATGATGCCTGCCTCTGTGCTGAACGGCAATGTAGTCGTAGAAACTAAGTTTTTTGATGAAGATTTACTAATATGTACCTCTAGGGTCAGATTGTTTTATGTTTAATTATTGTTTAATATTTAACTTTTTTTTCAAGCATTCCATGGCCTTAAAGAATAATTTTTGTTCAAATCTACCATAAAATCAATTGTATATTCAGGTGAGAAATTGTTTTGTTGAACAATTTAAGTAACTTTGACCAACTTAATCATGTAAAGGTTGAGTCTGTTAGTTACTATAACTACCGTCCATTTATTCGCATTTAAAAAACAACACGTAAGGCCTAAAAGTTTGTTATTTTACTGTAAATAAAATTGTTTAACAGTTTTGCTGTTTTTATTGTTTTGACTTTCGCCTGAAATTTAATGGGATCTGCGTATATCTTAAAAAAAGTGTGGAAAATGGTTGCCAGAAGTTTAGATTTTTTTGACTTGACACCATTTGAAAACTAATTATTTTATCGGTCTCAGAATGTTAAAGAAAGGTAAAATGTATAAGGCACGCTGAGGAAATGGCAACATCGATAAAGGTTTCTAATATCAAATGTATACTCGCGTTGAATTCACGTAAAACAACAGCCAGCGAGTCAATATAATTGGCCGGCTGCGGAAGAGCTACTGATAACGATAAGCAAACGGTCAACCTAAGAGAAGCAGCAGTTTTCTACAACTTTTCCGTATCGACAAAGGTTTCATCTCTTTAAAAAAAAAAAAAAAACAAACTGGAATTTTTGTATGTTTGGGTGATTTCTTATCCAGATATTTAACGTTTTGTTTTATAGCAATTTTATGGGTTTAGCCGAAATTGCTATGAATTTTCTAAACTAACTGGACTATTCCCACTTCCCGTTGAGTAGCTATCAAAACACCAAAGGTCCCCTCTCCGCGCTTCACCCCTAGGAAGAGGTGGGGTCCCACCATTCAGTCGCGGGACTATAATTTTGAACGTTGCCGCTATTACATTTCTTTACTAATTTGTTAAGTTTTTTTATAATTGAAATATTAATTGTTGATTAAAATGACATTTTAATTTTTAAATAATCGTGAACTATAGACCAATTTTTTAAAAAGTGGCGTTGTAGTAAGCGGACTTTTTCAGTAGTTGCTGAAATTCTGTAAACCCCTGCTATAATAATTGTTACTAGATATTTATTGATTACCGTGAATAAAAGACGTAGTCATGTTTGGTCTTGCAAGTTTTCCTTCCTCAGATGTCTGCCACCTCCGTTCTTTCTATACATGGTGCCTGATAATTCATCCGCCATAGAGTAACATATGACACAATATGAAAGGAAAAGATATGTTCAATAAATGTGGTGTCTAATGTTAGACGACTCGAACATGACCTTGGTTAAAAATTACGAAAAATTACTATTATTTTAGGGGAAAGATACCAAATTCAATATTAGTGTGTTAGTTTGAACCTAATTTCCAGACAGCACTTTTTTACCCTGTAACGCTGAACCTTTCTTAGTTTCATACCCGGAAGAGTATTTTTTCTGAGTAAAATCAATATCGTCAATATCGATAGTCATTATATATTTTTTTATTGTTAATAATCTTACCACCTTCACCGGTTTTAAAATTAAATTTTGCAACAAAACATGTAAAATGTCATAAACAAAAACTTAAAATTTCCAAGTATTAGGTTTCTTTTTATGCCGCCTTTCCTTTAAAATAATGCACCTGCAGCCCAAAATAGTCTCCGCCATATATAATGGTTCGATTTGAGCAGAATATTTTCATATAGCTAGTCGAAAATCTCATTTTACGTATTGTCTCTAATAAATTCAGTGTATTTCGGTGGTTTTATCATGTTTAACTTCTCTATCACATTGAATGTAGTCTATGGTGGTTCATTTAAAAAGTCATTTATTTATAGTATATATATTTATAGTTTCTATGCATAAAATATAAAGAAACTAAATCCAACAAAAACAGCGTACTTCAAACTAGTTCCCTCTTATAACATGTAAGTATAAATACAGAGTTTTCAGATTCAGATTCAGTATTTACATATTCAAGCAAATATCTTTATTTTCTTTCTGAGACGTCCCTAAATAGCCTCTTCTTAATAAACGGCCATTGGCTATATTTTATTAGTGTCACTAATGATAAGACGTTTTATTCTGTTTCTATAATTTTGGGATACTTTTTAATCTAAAAAGTTTATTTCTTTAGTGCAAAGGGCTCTAAAAATTGTAGAGATCTCAGAAACAAAAATTAAATCATCACTTGAAGCTTCGGTAGATACATTGTGCCTCCTCCTCGACAAAACTCTCATTCATCTCTTCAGCAATTCCAACAGTTCCATCATCGATGATAACTGCTGCCAGTTCGTTTAAACGACATGTTCACGGCCCTGTCAAATTTGTCAAGACCAATTGACTTATTTAAATAGTTTCATAAAATAATTAAAAATCAACAAATAGAAAATTGAGATTAAATTTTCTCTTCGTATTCCTTAGTCATAAAACCATAATACAAAGCTAGCGTGAAGGTAAGTGTAAAAAGTAGCTTTTCATTTTTTTCTATTCAAACATTAAAGCTGCCAAAAATGTATACAAACTTAGTCCAACCGTTCTTATTGGTTGCTTTACAATTCTCCAAGAAATAAGATCTGCCATCAGGTTGTTATTATTATAAAGCAAGTTTGCAATCGTGAGCAGCTTTAGCATTGCGCAAAAAGCGGCAACTCTGTAGCGTGTGTTATCGATCGTCATTTGTTTTAAGGTGGGTTTTCGGAGGCGCCACGACGCTGAGCGTACTCAACCCTCGGTTGTCCGTAGAATAAAATGGACGCTTCGAGCGTCGAGACGTCGACTACGCCGGTAACGCCGCGTCTGTCGGTTGGGCGTCGCTCGTCGCGCGGTAATCAGTAGAGCGACGTCCGTTTTGGTTAGTTTTTGATGATAACGGTGTTTTCGTTCGGTGGATTCGGTATCAGCATGACGTCGGACGGTAAGCAAATTTTTAACATTCCCCGTAGGGTCAGCAGAAAAACATTGCTTTACCGAAATATCGTGGTGCCGTAGATATGGCAACGTCGTTTTCGGCGGTAATTTTGAAATTTTTGGTTACACCGGTAACTGTATTTTCGTTGCAGAAAAGGATTACAAGGAGAAGCTGATTGCTGGCGTCAAAAAAGAGGTTAAGCAGGTTATGGAGGAATCTGTCACCAGGAAATTTGTACACGAGGACAGTGGCTCAGTGACGGCTTTGTGTGGGGCGGTTGAAAATTGTCTGTCGCAAGGTAATAGCATTCTCAAAAAGTAACGTAACAGGCCAAGTATTGCGGCATCCCAAAGATTCAGACACTGTATATAAGAGCACCGTTCAGTGGTGAAGTCAAATATTGACATGCTGTCGTTGTTTTAATTGAACATCCTTTATATTATGTCAAATTTGTATGAGTTTTTTTGAGAATTGAAATAAATTTTTGTATATTTTACAGATACATTCTGTTGAATGATTGTTGATAATGGTTCGTTATGTAGTCAATTTTATCCATTATCATAATAAATAGTATGAAGGGCTTAAATGGCAAAAAAAAGAATTATCGTATAAAAAAGTTGCCATTCCGTATTAAAAAGTATAAAAAATTTCGGCAGAGCATAATATCTAAAAATGTTATTAAGTTCTATATATAACGATAACGATAACTATTATGAGCTGAGTAATTTATTGTTTTCATACAAAGGGCTATTAGACAATACAAAGGCCGTAAATACTATGAAATTGTTGCAGCTCAGGCGGCTATGAAACTATAACTTACGTTTTTCCACTATTTTCTATTAAAATTTCGCTATATTTTGACAATATACTGTCGAAGAAATTCCACATGCACACTGACAATTGTCGAATTGACGAGCTATCAGCTATCAAGATTTTAAATCAGAAATTGGCTCATATTGGATGACCTCTATACATAGAGGTACTTAAGTTTGTTAAATTTAATGTACGGGGGTTTCCAATTAGGCTGGTTCCAATGGTGACATAGGCGACGATGCCACATTTATGGGTTTTTCCCTAAGCTTTCTCATTTTAAATAAAAAGTGTTGGATTTTATTTCATTTCGGATTGCTCCTAAAATTGTAACTAGTTTTTGTATAACATACCTATATTCAAGAGTTTTTGCAGGAATGACAGCAAACGAAAATAATTAATGATTTAATCAATAAATTGAATTTAATTTATGAACGACGTAATTAATGACCTTGGCGAATTGGTAAAATTAACAAAATAACTATAAAAACTACGGTGTTTTGGAGAACATTAGTTGTTATAGCTCGAATTACAATTATCTGCGCTTCTAAGTCAACCAAGATGTTGGGTTGGGTTTTGTACACTTTAGTTTTGAGGCGAACTCATAGATAAAATCTAGGACATTTAAATTTGGCCAACGAGGCGGTCACTCTATAGTCCCTTTTCGTGCTATCCAACGATTTGGAAACATTTGATTCAGGTACTTTCTTGCATGCTGTGCGTGACACCATTTCTGATGTTCGGATATAGTAAAGCTACTTGCGTCCTTAAAAGAAAGAAAAGAAGCACCTAGATTAATTCTGCCAATATTTAGCTTTTGAAAAAAGGAAATAACTTGGGAAATTTGGATTTAAAATCGATGCATCCATAATACGACCACAAAATTCCATTTGCGCATCTGAATCATCTTCAAACATTATTTCTTAAAAAATATATATACCAGGTGACTTGGAAAATTCTTATCCGCAGTCATTTTGAGTATATATCAAAATAATTACTTTTTTTCTTTGTTTTTAAATAATTTTTATTGTTATTTAAATTTACTAACTTAATAATGATTTTCGTATTGTGTCGTTTCTGCAAAAGTAGAGGTATAGGGTCTGTTGCACGAGAATCCTACTTAGAAGTTTACGTACAATCCAAAAATGGCACAGAAACGTGCCCTTTCTATTTAACATAAGAAAGTTTGGTAGCTATGGGAAAAAATCTAAATGTGGCAACGTTGACTATGTCATCATTGGATCTAATCCGCACCACTTTTTACTAACTCTTTATATATGTCTAGTAACTCTAACTAATCTTCTAAAAGACAATATTTGTTCACGAAATATGTTTGCAAGGGATTTCAAAACAAAAAAAAAATCGACATTAAAAGGAAAAAGAGATGATATTCATATTCGTTGTATTGTTGTGTTGTATGTTGCTAATAAAATGAAACTGTTTAAACTGTTATTTACCAAAATTGTTTGACACTCTACAAACTTTTATATTTACACTGTTTCTCCATCATTTTTGGTGCTAGCTTTCTCGCTTGTTAATAAATAATTAAACCAACTACAAAATATTCATGCTTCACTTAGATTTTCTTATAAAGAGTCTCTTATCTGTGTTGAAACCCGTAAAATTTAAATCGTTATTTTGAAAATTAACCGATGTTTATGTTCATGTTCATTGAAAACTGTTTTTTATGACATCCAAGAACAAAAATCAAGACACATTTTTGTAAAAAATGAAACTGACTTGAAAAGGGACAAAGTGAGGGACCGATAATAAATACTGCTTGCCATTTTTGCGAGCCTTTGTAGTCTTGAAACAGTGCTGCATTTGATGTGATATGCAAATTTTGGTGGCCTAGCGACCTAAATAACTACAGAGATAGCAATTATCTCAAGAATATTAACTGGCTTATTTATTTTTTATGTTATTTATTGTATATTATTTTATTTTAAAAAGATGATTAGACACTCGTGCTATTCTTTATTTATACAGAGTATTTGAAAAACAGGAGCCAACGGTCGTCAGTCTTCATGAGAAAGTTAGCCCAGAAATGATTAGCTTCCAAGATGTTCAATATTACCTTGTGTTAAAATCCTTACGTAATAGGCTACATACCTGCAACAAAGGTTCGCAAAATATATGTTCATAAAAGTATGCTTTGTTAAATTTCATGATTTGTTAATTTTATTCAAAAGACATTCTAGTCTTAATCTGATTGTCAAATTTCAAGAATATGTGGCAGAAAATGTTTAATAATCAACTTTTCCTACGGATGTTCATCATCCAAATCCGCAGGAAAGCGCATTAAGACTAAAAGATAATATTTTTTTTAAATCGTTCTTATATATTAATATATAATAATTAAAAATGTATAAGCTTTCGCACTTAATTGATTTACCTGACTCATTTTTTACATTCAAAAATAATCTAAAGAAATTCCAACATTATCTGAAATACATCATTATTTTCCTTATGCCCTTTGACAAACTAACCACTACGACGATAAACCAAATCAGTCAATGAAAGGTTTTGCGCCAGGTCTTCGAAGGAGAGCTTTGGGCCTATTCAAAACCTCCTCTACTACCGCACTCCTGCATAAAATTGCCAAGCATTGTCCCGAAGCCAACCGCATCAGCAAAAAAGTCCAAGAGATCGAGAACTCTGACCCCAACAGACGATCCAGCAGCAGTAGCGACAGCTTAACCAAACCCACGCTGAAGAAAAACCTTTCGTTTTCGGCCAATCCTTTACCGAAATATCTCTGGATCAGGGTCGCGCTCTTCGACAAGCAGTTGTCCAAAATCATAGATTTCTTAGTGTCAAACGCCCCGAAGTATTACGATAAAGACGCCCTAGTTGCCGATCCGGATTACGGCACCATTTTAAGCTCTTTGCTAGTTGGACCGTGCGCGTTGGATTATTCACGCACCAAGAGCGTCGAACAATTCTGGACCGATCCTCCGGCCGACGAGTTGGTAAGTGACGATAAAACCTATATTAATACTTACTTAATTAAATATGATGTTAACAAAAACTGGCCAGCAAGCATGTGCATGGAGTGTTTTAACAAACACAAAAACCTTTATTTTCAAATTTGATAAAGCCAAATAGACTTATACGTCATGGGCTCGATTTTTGATTATTGAGACTGCATGGCACCTTTAAAAAACCATGATATAAGGCGGTCCTTAATGTTCCGTCAATAACTTGTTTAATTATACAAGAAATTTATTTCAAGAAAAACATTATCAGGATACTTCTTTTAGTCAAATTCTTTCCAAGAATTATTTATATTAATGTAGCCAAATTCACATAAGGACGATCTAACTATTTACAAATATTCTGGATTGGTCCTTCTTTAGAGGTAAACGGAAACTGGACCGCTTTCTAATCTGTCATTCGAGACAATGTCCATGCTGACCTTTAGTGAGTAGGTACAAAGTAGAGTCCGAGAAAGTTTCAGTTTAGTTGTAGATGTAAGAGTTCACACCAGGTATGGTGTGTTCATAGATATAAGAAAGTGACCAATTGCTTTTTAATGGGATAATCCAAGTCTTTAATGGACTTTCCCTGTCTGCGAAAAATATTAAAGATTCTTCTCTGGATTACAATGAAGACACCACCGCTGATTTATTTGAAAGTTGGTTTAAAAACAAACTAGTTCCAAACATTCCTCCTAATAGCGTAATTGTAATGGACAATGCAAGTTATCACAGTAGACAGTTGACTAAAATCCCTTCCTCATATGACACAAAAGCAACAATCGACATTTATTTTCACGAAGATTAAACCAAAAAGCAATTAATTGAAGTTCTACAAAGCTTGAACCTATAAAAGGAATACGTCTATGATAATTATGCAAAAAATCTAGGGCATACAGTTTTACCTTACTACTGTATGTTTAATTCCATTGAACATGTTTGGAACCAACTGAAATCTGCCATTCGTCGTAACAATGTTTTTCCCCGTGTTAACTCCAATATCCTCAAACTTATAGAAACCGAAGTTTTTAACATCCCCCCATAAAGTTGGGCAAATTCTGTTAAACATATAGGAAAAGCAGATCAATCGTATATCCATATTGCAAACAATATAGAACAAATACTGATACTGATACTGATATATTCTGTGAATAATTTTAAGTAATTTAAGTAGGCAATAAAAATAATTTGTAATTTTATTTTAGATTTAAAGATAAATACATAAATAAATAAATAAATATTGTTAAATAATTAAATTCTAAGCAAAGTACGGATCTGTTCGGACATATTTCATTCTTACAGCTTGTCCGGGTCTTTCCTTAATTCGTATCAGTTAGTCACTTTCTTATATCTATGAACAGACTTTATGCGCTTAACGACTTCGGTTAACGGTCAGAAGATTTAACAAGGCACACTGACTAACCAGAGCCTTAGTGTGTTATTGTACGGCGTAGAGGTCTGGACCCTTAACGGGAGCGGAATTGTTGCAAATCATTAAAGAGAAAAGAAGTTTATCTGGTTCAAATATTTAAAAACACGAAGAAAGAATTCCTGAAGCAAATCATGGAAGGAAAGAGTGAGGGAAAAGGCTTCATCGGAAGGCACGACTTAAAAATATTAGATGCTGGACTGTTTCCGAGGCTTGCTCTTTAGAGTTGCACAGGACCGTGGAGAATTTATCCATTACATGGTACCTTAATCATATCACAAGTTCGATACAGTTTAAGTAGCCCAATAAATTTAAAAGTTAAATTTGGCAACTAAAACCATGTGTAACAACACGAAATCTATGAAATAATAATAGTGATTGACGGCTATATGCAACTTATACGAAAACAAAAGATGCTTCATATCTGCGCCATTTTCCTTCTTTCAGCGTTCAATACAGACAGTGAAATTTCAAAATCGACAAGACATTTATTTTTATTGTATTTTCGTCAAAAATCTTTCTTAGAGCTAGTGTTCAGAAAGTGAGATTTTATTTTAATAATTCCAGCTTTGAGATACAAAATTCAATACAAAAACAGTTCAAAAAGATAATTTTAACCGGAATTTCATCGGAATCGCTAAGAAAAGTCGAGTTTTACTAATTTTTTGTAATTTTTTAATCAAAAAACGGGTATTCCAAACATTCATCACAGGAACTTCGGCAGTATCACGTTGCGTTTTGATTTATTATTTTTGTTTGTAGTTAAGAAGATTTTTTTAAATGTAGACCGCAGCCATTCTCCTATAGTTGCAATGAAGTGTTTAAAAAATGGGTTACAAAAAATGTATTGAATAAAAAGTCAATTATTTTGCATTTCCAGACCTTACTACAGGATACATCAAAATAGGTGTTTCAAAATTTCCAGTTAAACTAAGTAAATATGATTCTACCTAACGATAATCACGCAGATCGTCTGGTTTAGATGTGAAAACATTAACATTTATTTAGTTAGTGGACTATAAGAAAGCTTAGAATACGACACAAAAATATATCGCTATGGCCCTTATTAATCAAGACAATAGAAATTGCCGCTGATCAAACAACGTCTCGTCAGGTTCAACGCCACAGGATTTCGAGCGGTCATTCCACGCCGCCCCCCGTGCGGCGACCGATCCTCAATTTCCGTAGGTCGTTGAACGCGTCCTCGGAGGACTCCATGGTATGCCGAACGTCCACGCAGCACATCGCCAAAGACTACGTGGAGAGCCTCCACCAGAACTCCAAGGCGGCTTTACTCTTCGGCAAAAACAACGTGCTGGTTATGCCGGTGAAGGATGACGTCACGGAACCTATTCCAGGGTAAGTAACAGAAGACGTTCTAGAGTCATAAATTGAGTCAAAAGTCGATTTTGAAACTTCAAGAAATACTGAATATGTGGAAAGTTTGACACCCTGCGCTAGTGAACTTTTTTGTTATTTTGCATTTACTTAATTGCAAGGGAATTTGAGAAATAACTAGTTATACCTTTGTACCGGGCATTCAGTTTACCTTGATAACATTTTAATTGGCTGTAGCTTTTTTAGTTTTAGAGATATCAAGGTGAACAAAAAACGACATGTAGAGTTAGTATGTTTTTTCCAAGTGACGTATAAAACAAAACACCCTGTATATTATATGTGTTTAACGGCACATCTTCCGATTACAGTGATATAGATTAAATTAGATTAACAGTTGGGAGAGCTAGCAATCAGCCTGTCCGTCACTGCGACCCAGTATCGGTAGAGCACAACGTGACCTCCTCTTAGAGAATGGTCAGGCTATCAAAAGCTGCGAAACCTACAAATACCTGGGAATGTACATATCCAGCAGTGGAAGAAAGGCCATTACTATGCTGAACACCTTCTTGTGGGACCAAAAAATCACGAGACCAAACAAACACTTAATATACAATAGGATCATTAAAAGCATAGTCACATAGAGCAGTGAAGTCTGAAAGCGATGGACTTTTGGAGAAGAGCGGCAGGAAGGTCCCAAACGAAGCAATTCGCACAACCATGAAGGAAGAACAAAACAGTTCAAGTGATACGGTCACGTCCAAAGAATGGAAGAACAGCGACTGCCTAACAAATACTCACCTGCACATCTATATATATATATATATATATATATATATATATATATATATATATATATATATATATATATATATATATATATATATATATATATGTATATATATATATATATATATATATATATATATATATATATATATATATATATATATATATATATATATATATATATATATATATATATATATATATATATATATATATATATATATATATATATAATATATATATATATATATATATATATATATATATATATATATATATATATATATATATATATGATGACACTATATTCCGGGATATCATCCGTTCGCCTCGTTGAACTCCGACTGGAATCCTGCATCCGACTGGAATCCAGGATTCCAGTCGGATGCAGGATTCCAGTCGGAGTTCAACGAGCGAACGGATGATATCCCGGAATATAGTGTCATCACATTTTTCCATCCGTGAATCAATACGTGAGATATATATATATATATATATATATATATATATATATATATATATATATATATATATATATATATATATATATATATATATTATATATATATTATATACATATATATATATATATATATATATATATATATATATATATATATATATATATATATATATATATATATATATATATATATAAATATATATATATATATATATATATATATATATACTATATATATATATATATATATATTATATATATATATATATATATATATATATATATATATATATATATATATATACAGGGTTTTTCACTTAAAACTCCGCACGCCAATAAGTCCAAAACGAAAAGAAATATTTAATTTATGTAAAAAGTAGTCAAAGTGTGGGGTCAAGTAGATATTTCCTAAAGTTTAAAAAATTCGACGCCTGCAAAGAGCTGGGCGTCGCGACGCGTCGAAAAATTATTCGATTGCAGAGACTTTGGAAATACGCGCATACAAAACTACATATTATTTAAAAACTTTTTTGTTATTTACTCAAACTTATTTACTTTACCCGTTTCTAAGTTATACCGATTTAAAGTAAACATTTCTTGATTAATAAAAAATGTGATTAACGCTTATTTTTACAAGTATGCCATGAATGTTAGTTACTATGGCAACCATTGTTATTGCAGTTTTGATAGGTTCTTCATAGATAACGTTTTTTAGGTAGCCCCAAAGAAAATAATCTGGTGGTGTAATGTCCGGGGACCTCGCCGGCCACCTTACCGGTCCATTAGTACCAAACCATCTATTGGGATATTCTCGGTTCAAATATCTCGTTACTATTTGGGCATTATGTGCAGGCGTTCCATCCTGCTGTAGCCACATATTCATTCTAGTGTCAAGAGGCATTTCTTCTAATAGTTCCGGAAGTGTAGTTTGAAGAAATCTTAAATAGCGATCTGTATTTAAAGTTCCTTCGTAAAAGTAAGGTCCAATAAGGAATCCATTTAATATGCCGCACCAAACATTGATACTAAAAATTCGTTGGTTACCTCTTTCTGTAATCCAACGAGGATGGTTTTTGGACCAAAAACGACAGTTGTGTCTATTAACGATTCCATTATTTTGAAATCAACTTTCGTCGCTCCATAAAATTTTCGAGAGAATATTTGCATCTTGGCTATACAAATCGGACAATGTTGCTAAGAAATACATTCTTCTAGCATAATCGCCTGGTTCTAGTTTATGAACTAGTTTACTTTTGTACGGGTGAAAAGAGTTTCTATGTAGAATTCTCCACGAAGAACTTATGGTAACACCGGTATTTTCTTTTATCTCTGATAGGGATATCTTGGGGTTATTATCAACCTGCTGAATTACAGCAGCAGCATTTTTATCATTTGTAGCCGTCCTGTTCCTATCTCTTTTAGGTTTTATGAAGCTGCCATATTCTTTTAAGTTTTTAAATAAACTTGAAAATGTTTTTGCATCGGGGACTCTTCTATGCGGATAACGCCGTGCGTAAACTCTTTTTGCTTCTCTACAATTGCATCTGCATTCTCCAAACACCAGTAACATGTCTACTTTTTCCTCATTGCTAACTTGCACCATTTTCACATAATAATTCTTAGTTTTTTTTTAAACCGAACAAATTTGGATATTTCTTGTGACAAAATGTGACAATTTTTTGATACAGCAATAACAAATTACGTTTGTAATTGCACTTAAAACAACTGCGATAACAATGGTTGCCATAGTAACTAACATTCATGGCATACTTGTAAAAATAAGCGTTAATCACATTTTTTATTAATCAAGAAATGTTTACTTTAAATCGGTATAACTTAGAAACGGGTAAAGTAAATAAGTTTGAGTAAATAACAAAAGAGTTTTTAAATAATATGTACTTTTGTATGCGCGTATTTCCAAAGTCTCTGCAATCGAATAATTTTTCGACGCGTCGCGACGCCCAGCCCTTTGCAGGCGTCGAATTTTTTAAACTTTAGGAAATATCTACTTGACCCCGCACTTTGACTACTTTTTACATAAATTAAATATTTCTTTTCGTTTTGGAGTTATTGGCGTGCGGAGTTTTAAGTGAAAAACCCTGTATATATATATATATATATATATATATATATATATATATATATATATATATATATATATATATATATATATATATATATATATATATATATATATATATATATATATATATGCCCACCTATGACACAACGGAATAAAATATTCTATTAAACACATATATAATATACAGCGTGTTCTATTTATAAAAATATCACGTAGGCTTATATGTCAGAAACTTGATAGTGTTTTGTTTTACGCGTAATTTGGAAAAAGCTTGGCTACTAACCCAACATTTTGTTATTTTGTTTACCTATGTCTAAAAACAAAAGAGCCAATTAAAATGTTATCAAGATAAATTGAACGCACCGTACACTCGAACCATGATTATAAGAGAGAAATATTGACAATTTAATTCTCGGGTGTAATAGCAACGAGTTTAAGTTTACAGGAGAGGTTTATCCTTATTTCCCGATTCAAAAAAATTAGCACATATTTTATGCAATTTAACGCTAAATACATATATTTATACGGATTTTTAATTGTCAAGGAAACGAAAGCTACTCTCTAATTGATCTGGATTTTTAAAAACATTTTCGTAATTAAGGCGTTTCGCAGGTATCTCAGTTTGCATCAAACACCAAGCGGCCTGACTATCAAATGGACCCCCAACCAACTAATGAACGGGTATACTGACGAGTCTCAAGATAAAAGGTGAGTCCATAACGTTCAGAAACCTTTTATAATGTCCAACTAAACGGGACCATTTTAGTATTTATTGGGATTACGCTCTCCAAGTGCGCTTAGACGAGATAGTTTACGTCCATTGTCACCAGGACAACGAAGCTGGTGGTACGGTAATATTGGTAGGGCAAGACGGCGTTCAACGACCACCGATACACTTTCCCAAGGGTAAGATGTTAGTGAAAATTGTCGCCGATACGGTTCTGGTTAGTAGGTAGCGCGGGACCGCTTTTATCTCGAGAGAAAAATTGAAAAGCTCGCGAGGTGGCTTTGAGCGTAAATTGCCTTTTTATATATCCGACGTTTCTTTTTGTGCGCTATTTTTGCGATTCTCGGCCCGAATTAAAGTGTAAAAGGGAGTAATTACGAGGAAAAGTTCCCGTGTTGGAACGCGCGGAGATCGGGGAACGAAAATTAAGTGCACGTCTAACTGAAAATGTATTTTTTGCCCCAGCTGTAACGAACAAAGAGGTAGCTGCCACCGGCTTACGTTCCGCAATTATACTAAAATAATTATAAAATACTAAATTAAATAACATACCATGCATAAATTAAAAATGTAAATTTTCAAATTTGAAAAGTGGGACGTAAGATTATTTGCTTTTAGGAGCTTTATAAAACAAAGGATAAAGATAATTTTGTTGTGGATATTTATAAATCTTGACCAAAATTTTCGAGAACAAATCAAATAAGAATTAAAAAAAAATAAAAAACAAAACAAAATTTTATTTATGAAATCTTAACCAAAATAACAAGAAAACAGTGGACCGGAAATAACTAAAGAAGAGGTCATCTATGTTATAAGAATCACAAAAGATGGAAAAGCTGCAGGGCCTGATGAGTTACCCTCTGAAATTCTCAAATTGATAGAAGAGTCTAACAGATCTGTTCAACACCATATACAAAACAGGTATTATACCCAGGGAATGGTTGCTATCAGCGTTCGTCACTATCCCAAAAAAACATAATGCTCAGACTTTTGAACAATCAGTCTAACGAGTCATACGCTAAAAATATTTCTGAAAGTGATACATCACAGGATATACAAAACATTAGAACAAGATATCAGCGAGACTCAATTCGGTTTCCGAGGTGGCTTAGGCACAAGAGAAGCAATATTTGCCTTGAACGTTCTCGCCCAATGATGTATGGATATGAATCAGGATCTTTATATATGTTTCATTGATTACAACAAAGCCTTCGATAGGGTCCGACACGAACAACTTATCCAGCTTCTGAAAGAGAAGAACTTAGACACCAGAGATGTAAAAATTATTACGAATATTTATTTTAATCAAAAAGCAGTGGTAAAAAAACGTAAAAAAGACAAAATTTATGATAATATCAAAAACAGCACAAAACAATTCACAAATTCATATAAATAACCACTCCATAGAAAAAGTTGACAGTTATAAATACAATTGTAAATAAAAATAACGACTGCTCGGAAGAAATCGAAACTAGAATAGGACAGGCGAGAACAACATTTGTGAAAATGAAAAGAGTGCTCTGTGGCGGCGATCTCAGCTTGGATTTAAAAATCAGAATGGTGCGATGCTATGTTTTGTCGGTACTGTACTATGGTGTAGAGGCTTGGACTCTGAAGAAACTGGACATAAGGAAACTGGAGGCGTTCGAAATGTGGGTGTACCGTAGAATACTTAAGGTAACATGGAAATCCTGAAAAGAATAAAAAAGGAAAAAAAGCGTAAACTTCAGTACCTTGGACACGTCATGAGAGGTACCAACTACTCCAACTGATATTACAAGGAAAAATTCAAGGAAAGAGAAGTGTAGGAAGAAGGCGTCACTCATGGATGAGAAACTTACGTGACTGGTTCGGGTGCACCACAAACCAACTATTTCGGTCGGCCGTGTCACGAATACGAATAGCACTGATGATTGCCAACCTTCGCAACGAAAACGGCACTTAAAAAAGAACCAAAATAAGCAAAACCTCCATCCAAGCATTACATCTATTCCGAAATACCTGGGTAACATATACATAGCTATTATATTAGATCATTGTTATTTTTTAATTTAATTAGTAATTGGTGGAATGTTAGTATTAGTTAGTAAAATTAGCAAATATTTTTTTTATGTCGAGTTTCTTTTTCTTTTTACTTATTGTACTTTAAGGGGGCAGAAGACGGCAGGTTTAGTTGAACACCCACTGAGTTTTAATGTTTTAATAGAAGAATCCGTAAGCAGAATTACTTTGACAAAATACAAGGTGACAACATTCTACTTTGTAAGATGTCAACTGTCAATAGTATTTACAGGTGCCGTTCAACTCGATCGCAAAGTAAGGCAAATTTTATAATTGAAAGGACGGCAAGTGATAGAAATTTTTTTCTTTCTCTTGTTATTTTGTGTAAGCGGGGTGCTCTCGTTGTTAACTTTAATAGTGTGTACAGGATCGTCGCTAAAGAGCCGTGTGGGAAAAAAATAATATTTCTTACACAGGTTGACAAAATCTGCACTGTTTTAAAGAGTAAAGAATTACCGATTTTGAAGTTATTTGAGGTATAAGCAAGTAACGCCGACCGAATAACAAATTATTTTAAGTAATTACCAATTTTCATTACTTCGGTGATTCTTAATCTTGCTTTTGGAGGAGACGAAATTTATCCAGCTCATCCCAAGACTTACCATTAGATCGTTTTGAATAGCGAAGGTTGAAGATGGCTCTATCGTTTCTCTATAGACTGTTATAAAGGGTGATTCAATAAGGGTTTCCACATTAAAATAATAAAAAAAACTCGGAAGTATATAAAAATATGCAAACATTTTTATTTGCCATTTTAAATTACTGTATTACAATTAGGTATGAAAGATGATTTATTGTTATTGAAATTTCCTATCACTTTTTGACACAATTCAGGTTCTATGCCGGCTATTTCGCGTCTAATCTCCTGTTTCAGCTCTGGAATAGTGTTTGGTTAGTTTCTATACACTCTGCTTTTTAGATACCCAAAAAAAAAAATCTAGGAGAGTGAGATCACATGATCGCGGCGACCAATCGATATCGCCGTTAACCGTAACAGCGTTCTCCGCATTACTCTCGAAAAAAAAAAGGGCCAACTATTCCTCTGCACCAAAATGCGCACCAAACAGTCACTTTTTGAGGATGCATTGCTTTTTGAACAATCTCTCTTGGATTTTTTATTCACCAAATACGAGCATTGTGTTTGTTTACAAAGCCACCAACGTGAAAATGTGCCTCATCGCTAAAGACGATTTTCGTTGCAAAATGAACCCCTTGTTGTCGTATCCATTCTGCAAACACGCGGCGCTGTTGATGATCTCGAGGTTTCAACTCCTGAGTTATTTGGACTTTATATGGGTGTAGATGCAAGTCCTTTGTTAAAATTCGCTGTGTGGTTGAACACGTAAGATGACGAACCGATGTGTTTGGATCTTCGGCTACACTTTCGCGAACAATGGCAATATTTTGATCCGACCGACCTGCACGAGCACGTTGAGGGACTTTGAGGTTAGTTGCAGGTCCAGTTTGCTCAAATTTTTGAACCACATTTCAAATTGTCCTCTCAGAAGGTCGATTTTGGCCCCCGAAAAATTCACGTAGAGCCCGAAATGCATTTTTTCTTGATCGACCATTTTCATAATAGGCTTCCACAATTTTTACACGCTGTTCAGTCGTATATTGCTCCATGACTAGTTTTGTTTATGTTTTGAGGTTAGAAATCTCATTTGATAATAAACAAATACAGTGGCGTTTCAAAAATATTTCAGATTGTAATGTGGTAAACAGACGAAAACTGAAAAAAGATATAAACAATTTTTTGGGATTAAAAATCGATCCTTGCCATTCACTTTGCAAAAATTATTTCATGTAAATGTGTGGCCCACGATTGTGTTTTGGATTATACATACGAAATGTCCAATTTTGAGTTATTTTTCGTTCATAACTCACCGATAAAACGTGTGTTCTAGTTCTTAAATCGATGTTAGTTTAGCGGTATCAAAAAGATATTTGACGTAACCCCACAAAAAAAAACCAGTCCAACCAGATCCAGCTGGCACTCTACGCAGACGAGTTGGTGGTTTCATATTGACTGGCCTGCTCGGTATGGCGATTATGACTACCATAAAATGGTCGAAGTACGTGAATCACATATTTTACAGATTTTGATAATAAAATTCGGTGATTTGTAAGCGTTGCTCGTTAGCAGCAAAGTAATCACGCGTTTTTTGTATTTTATCTTACTGCAGGAAGAATATAATTCGTTAAGATATAATCGCAAATTAAAACATCCGCGAAAGCTCGAGTCAGACGTCGAATCTGCGTAAAGCTGACGGGGTAATGAAATATCGCGTTTAAATCTTCTCTCCATTTGGCTAAATCGAATTTCCAAAGCGAAGGCGTTTGATATCTGAAAAGATTGGAAGCGAAAAACTCATTTCGCGCGTTCCCGCCGATCCCGACGGCGAATTTAAAATCTTCCGGCGGAAAATGTCTACCAACTTTTTTAATGATTAAAATATTCGAATAGAACATTTAGGTCTATAAAATTAAATTTTTCATTCATTTGTTTATATCACGTAAGTTTGTTTTTGCAAATATTAAAGGAAAAAAAACGATACTTGTAAAACAATTAATTTTCTTTTAATAAAAAAGTGAAACCCCAGTTTTAAAAAGTGAAAAAAAAAAATTACTCGGACTTTTTTCAATGAAATCTTCGTCTTTTTTCCACAAAGCTGCGCCTGTGTCTTTTAAAGGACATAATCCGTTTTAACATCCAGCAGTAGTCCGCCATCATCGTTATGCTCCATCTGCCATGGTTCCATTTGCTTAATGTCCTGGTGAAACCTCTCTCCCTGTTCTTTACTAATTGCTGCAAGACTATAAAAGTGTTTACTTCTTTAAATACAACCCAGGCGTTTTTCTTGATATTGATAAATTTTGTTTCGAAAATGCTCGTCAAATGAGGATGATATGAAGAGGAGGCAGTAAAACTTTTTGGGGGTCTCTTAATACATTTTGATACCAGGTGTAAGACTTGTTCTAGAGAGCCATTCTATTTGCGGTCCTTCCTGAGTAAGCTATTGTCATAACTCTTTTTCGCGATCCCGGTGGTGTGACGCCAGGTGACGGTAATTGCTGGTCTCGAAGTCTGGACGCTAACAATTCGGATTCATCCTTTGGAAGGTGCAAATCTCTAATTAGACCATTTAATTCACACCAGATTTCAAAGGGCCCGAAGTTAAACACTTCGGGCCCTTTGAAATCTGGTGTGAAATCTGAATCATCTGAATCGGAACTAGATTCCTCTGAGTCTGACGATATAACGTTTTCTAGTTCTTTTGGGGCGGCAGGGGATACACTGGGATTGGGATACACAATTTGTTTTTTGTTTTTTCCGTTGAATCCTTGAACGTCACACGAACAAAAATAACAACTATCACTGTGATTCCTAGGCTCTCGCCATACCATAGAAACACCAAAGCTTAAACATTTCTTCCTACCCTTTTGCCAGCTTCTTATTGCTTCAACGCAATTGGGACAGACAGTATGATGAGTCCAGGACTTGCCTTGGTCGCCAATTTTTACACCCAAATAAGCGTGGTATACATTCTTTACAAAATGTTGACGTTCACGCAATATTTTCTTTCCATATACGACAGCACGACGACCAAACTGCGCATAAGCAGGTTACAACGCTTCTGCGCCATCTCTGATGCTTTGCAGAGAAATCTAATGTCATCCAGTGTTGCCAAATCACATTTAATTTCCTAAAAACCAATTCATTTGAAAATCATGGCTGAAATGTTGCAAGGATCCATCACCAAACATCTTTGAAGAATTTCATGCATTTCGACGCCCTCCATAGGGAATATTAATATAAATTTTCAATATTCCACTGGAAATTTGTTTCTAATTTTATAAAAATGTAAATTGCATAAAAATGCCTATTCTATTCTAAAATCCCTTTACTCACACAAGTTTTGTTATTAAAATTTTTCGATAAAATTAACTTTTTTAGTGCATATGAACAAAAAAAATTGTTTTATTCTAAAAGATTTTTAGATATATTATTTATATTGAAGAAACAAACAACACACTGCTGTACGGTTGAACTAAATAATATCAAACTTTTTTTTCCACGAAATAATAAATAAATAAAGAAAAAATAAAAAATTTCACCCCTCATAAAGGAAACTAACAGAATTGTAGTTGCTATTTATGAATCGCAATTAAAAATTGGTTTGATGTAACACGAAGAAAGAGACGATGAAGAGTGGCTTGCTAATAATCAACAGTAGAGGTGCATCGACGGTTCTGTGTGACTTCCTTATTTTGACAGGCGGCCACATGTTGGCATTCCTGAGTTGCCTGGAAACAGGCCTGCTGCCCAGGGGTCGGCTTGATCCTCCGTTGTGGTCGCAACGGTCCGGCGCGAATTCCTCTACAAAGCGGAGACGCCCTCTGCCGGCCCTTTCGGAAACGGAAGAGACCACCAAAGATTACGTGTTTAGAATTATAGACAACAGTGATCACAAAGACATTCGTAAGTTTTACGAGCAGGTGTGAATCAATAATCGGAATTGAATCCGACATCCGACCTTTCAGTAAAGAGAAAGGACTTGATGGATACCAAAGCGGCGTTGCCAACGAAAGTTAGGGTACAACTGTGTAGTACGAGTACCAGTTCAGAGAGCTCTTCGAAGAGTTTTAGTATAGGTAATAATGTGTATTGTTTAATTATATGTTTCTTAAATGAACCTAACTCAGTGAGATTTCTATGCAGAGTTCGATGAGGATGGAGCCTTTAGTCATACGGCTCTTTGTATTTAGATTTATCATACACCGCTTTTTTTCATTAGTACAGTGCGTTTTCATCTGCACATAGACTATCAAAATGTTACTGCATTTTTCCAATTTTTCGAATTGCAGCAATTAAAAGTGATTTTTTTCAAAGCTAAAAACTGCTAAATACGTCAAGTTTTTCATAGTTAAAACCTTTATTCAATGCAAAAAAAATGTTTTGAAAGGACGAGTCTTGATCGCGAGTAATTTTATTGTTAGAGGTTAATGAATTCAACTACTACTCTACCTTCATCTCCCTTTTACCTCACAACATAGAGTTCGATGTTGTAGTATTTCGCCATTCGACATCTTTTTTAAAGTAACTTACGTCATTTACGTGCGACCGATGGAAAAAAATCAAATCAAAATCAACCACCTTAAAAAGACAATGCTTTGAATATTTCCCACATTGGAGTTACAAGATTAAGTTGTAACGGATATCGTTGAAAAGCTAATAAAAGAGCCTGCCTATGACTCCGAGAATGCGATACAGCTTCCATGCCGGACATGCCGTGTTTCTAAATACATCAATTTTTTAGATCAAAATGTGCCCGACAGTCCCCCGAGTGTTTGCATCCAGGCGGTCTGCGACTCTATGAAGCGCCAAATCATATCCAGAGCATTTTACGGCTGGCTGGCGTATTGTAGACACTTGTCCACCGTCAGGACCCACCTGAGTGGCTTAGTTAACAGCAAAATCACCAGCGGAGAGAACGCATCTGACGGTAAGTTCGATACGCCAATTTCGCGCTCATTCATGGTAAAATTTTTAGGTATTACTGTCGAAAAATGGAAACAGCTCTGCGTCGACGGTGTGGTATCGGACTACGCCGAAGTCTACCGGCACACTTACTTCGGGGGTATAGCCAACGAGCTGAGAACCGAAATATGGCCATATTTGCTGGGGCATTATAAATTCGGTAGCACTACCGATCAGAGGAAGGAACTTGACGACGAGACCAAGCAGGCGTGAGTTTGACTTGATGGTTTCTTCACAATTTAGACTTTTTGATTACTATAAACCCACCAGGTATGAAAACACAATGTCAGAGTGGTTGGCGGTGGAAGCTATAGTACGTCAGAGGGATAAGGAAAATCAGGCCAACGCTATAGCGAAACTCAGCAGCGAGAGCATGTCTGGCGAACAAGTGCCTAACGAAATCCACAGGGATTTGAGCAACGAGGCAAAACTCTCAACTAATTTTTTCAATCCGCGGCGATAGCTCTTTTGTGTTTCAGGTGTTCGAAGATGGCATCACGGACGACGAAGATTCGATGTCCGACGTCGAGAAGGATGAGAGCCCGAAAAAGCCCCAGAGGACGAAACAAAACACCATCACGTACGACAGCGACGAAGAAGAACATATTGACGTTGAACTCGTGGAGACAGAAGAGACGATCAAGCCCGATGGGATTGTTGACGAAATCGAAAGCAACGTAGAAACGAACGAGGCGGACGAGGTGGAAAATGAAACGGAATTGAAAGATTTCATCCACAACGTCATCGTGACCAACGCTTCTGTCGATATGGGAAATTTGGGGAACGAGAGTTTGGTAAGAAACCATTTGGACGCCGTCACTGAAGAGAACAATTCTTCTCTTGACACTTGCGTCGAAACGCACGGATTGGCCAGTCCTGCGAGGTCGGCATGCGTTTCGCCGGCCAGTTCCAATGGTGGAGTTTATAGTGTAAGCTGGATAAACTGCTATTAATATGTGTACCTCAATCACCTTTCTGGGACTTAATGTGTAATTGTTTATTGCTCAATTTGGGATAGAGATGTTCACATATTTAAGAAATTTTGGAAAATGGGGTTATTGGATTTGTTAATATTCTTCGTAAGTAAAAAGAATTTGTACTATTTATAAAGGTGCGGCGGCTGGACGCTGATTTAAATAACAAAACAAAGGCTATGGTAATATTCTAATATCAATGTAGTGTATAATAATGCCCAAAATCGACATCACTTTTTATAAAACTTCTGGATTCCTCCCGCGTCGGTTTTTGCTTAGTCGAAAATGCTGACGTTTCGTCCATCATCCTGTTGGCTTCTTCAGAGCTTGACTGAAACTGGCGAAAAGTTAGCTAGTTCAACAACAACCGACACACGCGGAATCCAGAAGTTTTATAAACAGTATTACAGTAGCCTGCGGAACTTTTTTTTTGAAAAATTAAGATTATCTTCAACTAATTATTTATTTCATTTATTTCCTTTTAACTTACAAGCTAAGTTAACGTCTCCAAAAAAAAAACTGTTGTAAGAACAAGTGGTTGTGAGACAAGCATCTTCACAACCACCATTTTTAGCAATTGTTTTTAGTGGTCTCAGAATTCGAGTACGGTTTTTTTTTTAATTTGGGCAGATGTCCTTGTTTATTTTGAGGTTTATACTATAAAATAGCATCGAATTCAAGTTCTCAGAACTTACAGAACTTTAAAGAAATTATTTTTGCCCATCTACGAGGGGGTACCCATAAAAAACCGGAATTGAATTGCCGCGCGCAGAGCTTGTATAGTACACCTTTCTGCCGCTAGGGTGTGGATAGTACAACTTATTGCGAGTTCAACGCCACCTTCGTTTTAAATTTAACTTGTTTTAACTGTTTTTTTGATATTTCGTTTTTTTCGACGGCAAGTTGAAAAGAACAACGCGCAGCTGTGACGATGCGATGGGAAAAACCCAAGTGTACCAGGGGTTTGTTCGCTTCAAAAATGGCGACGAGTCAATTGATAACCGACCTCGTTCTGGACGTCCATCAACTGCTCGAATTGACGAAAATAATGTGATCACAGACCGTCGACAGACAATTGAACAATTATCAAAGATTAGTGGGTTGTCTTGGAGCACGGTTCAGAGAATTTTAACCGAAGATTTGGGAATGAAAAGAGTTGCTGCCACGTTTGTTCCTCGTCTTCTGACTGACAACGTCACTGTCTCCCCGTTCAAAAAAATGTCGTCAGGTCAAATCAAACATCAAAACGATGCCGATTTGCTTTTTCGACATCAACGGCGTAGTTCATGCAGAGTTCGTTCCACCAGGTGAGACCGTTAAGATTGCGCAACAGTATTCGACAAAAAAGACCCGATTTGTGGCGGACAGGGGACTGGTTCTTTCACCTGCACACACAGCCATTTCTGTTAAGCAGTTTTTGGCTAAAAATGGCATGGTTCCTCTGCCCCATGCACCTTACTCGCCTGATCTCGCTCCGTGTGACTTCTTCATATTTCCACGTTCGAAAAGGGACACGAAAGGACAGCGATTTGACAACATTAAAGAGGTCAAGAAAAAAACGAGGGATGAGCTGTCGGCCATAGCCAAAGATGAATATAAAAAATGTTTCGAACAGGGGACAAATGTATTAGTTGTAATGGAGAGTATTTTGAAGGGGATAAGGTCGTTCTGTGATTTTCAAAACAATATATATTTTATAAAAAAATGATTCCGGTTTTTTTTTGGGTACCCCCTCGTAGTATTGAAAGCGGCAAAGAAAACTGCAAATTTTCGAAAACTTAAAACTACAAATATTATTCGTATAAAAATATTTATTTTTAGAACTATTAGTTCACTTCTAATAAATTCTACAAATTTAAAAATCATTTTCGGTGGCATTTTTTGGCTTTTTGTTGTTCATTAAAAATAGATTACAGTTAGTAGCTTCAACGAATATACGTCTTGATACCGTCCACATTTCAGCAAGAATTGCTAAAAAACTTCGGATTGAACCTGCATCGCATCGAGAAAGACGTCCAGAGATGCGATCGAAATTATTGGTACTTCGCAGGCGAAAATCTCGACAAGCTTAGGAATGTCATGTGCACGTACGTGTCTTCTCATCCATTTATTTAAAGCAATTTACTCTTTTATAAATGTTGAAACGCTAAAGCCATGATGACACGAGGCATCTGTAATTTTTTTGAGTTGATATCTCAGTTTCACAGCACCAGGTACCAGGTTCTAATTTCATTTTCTTTCCTTTGTTATTATTTATTATTTATAATAGTACTTTCTTGAGACTTGCAAAATCAGATTTTGCATAGCACCTGAGGTATTTTCCAGTACAAAATTAATACATTATCGCCATTCCATTAAATGGGGAAATTTCCATACCGTCCATTATAAGGGGTGTTTTTTTTTTCGATGTATAGAAATTTAGATTGCAATAAAACAACGGTGGATTATTCGATCGACATGAATTTTATTTATCCGAAAAATAACCTTGTGGCATTACATTTTAAATATGATTTTTGGCATATGACCGCCACGGCCGGCGCCGATGTAGTCCAATCTGGACGTCCAATTTTCGATGACTTTTTCCAACATTTGTGGCCGCATATCGGCAATAACACGGCAAATGTTGTCTTCCAAATGGTCCAGCGTTTGTGGCTTATCCGCACAGACCAATGACTTCACATAGCCCCACAGAAAGTAGTCTAGCGGTGTTAAATCACAAGATCTTGGAGGCCAATTCACAGGTCCAAAACGTGAAATTAATCGGTCACCAAACGTGTCTTTCAATAAATCGATTGTGGCACGAGCTGTGTGACATGTTGCGCCGTCTTGTTAAAACCACATCTCCTGGACATCACGGTTATTCAATTCAGGAAGGAAAGAGTTAGTAAGCATTGCTCTGGTCATCATCGTTTTTGAAGAAGTACGGACCAATGATTCCACCAGCCCACAAAGCGCACCAAAACAGTCAGTTTTTCTGGATGTAACAGGATTAGCTTCGCTCCAAATGTGGCAGTTTTGTTTGTTGACGTAGCCATTCAACCAGAAGTGCGCTTCATCGCTAAACAAATTTCGCTTATGAAAATCGGTAACAACGGCAATCTTACTTGATGATCGTTTGGCTTCAATTCTTGCACGAGTTGGATTTTGTAAGCACGTAAACCAAGATCCTTCCGCAAAAACTTCCATAAAGTGGATGGACACAGATCCAATTAATGTGCTCGATGGCGGATAGACTCATTGGGGTCTTCTTCAATGCTACGCTCTACAGCAGCAATAGCTTCTTCTGTACGCGCCGTACGGCGTCTCTGGGGATGCGAGTTATCAATAAGAGTAAACGTGGTGCAAAAACGTTAAAATTAACTGCTCTGATGGACGATTTTGTCGACGATAAAATGGGCGCAGTGCGCGATACGTATTCCTCATAGAACCATTATTTTCGAAATAAAATTGCACCATTTGCAAGCGTTGTTCAGGCGTGAGTCTATTCATGATGAATTGCCAGACCAAACTGAGAATAAATCACTTGACAGCTGTTAAATCGGTCGCCATCTTGAACAGTAATGCCAACTTAAAGTTCTATACATCGAAAAAAAAAAGACCTATTATAAAGGATATCTCGAATTTGTTAATATTTATTCGTTGGAATTTTTTGGCGGAAATGAACTCGCGCATTCACAATTTGATTACAAAGTTTTGTTTTTTCAGGACAGTCATGACTTTATCAGGTCTTAAATTCTTTACTAAAAATGCACTTAAAACGTATCAAAACTATAATTAAATATATAATAAACTCTACAAAAATCTCTCTACTCTGGCGAAAATTTAAAACTATGTTCAATTTGTTTTTACGAATTCAATTTCCATCAATCTTAAAATAAACATAGCGTAGTTAATTAAAATTGCGAAATAATTGATTTAAGTTGTTAGACTTATAATTAAACCCAAAATATTTGTTTGACACCAAAACTTATATAACTTTGGTAAATGTCACTTATATAACTAACCAAAACTAACTCGTCAGCATACTATGGGCCAGTTGGACATGCGTTTTATTAAGTAAACCATTTTTTGACAATATCTGTCACACAACCTGAAACATAATCGTCTATTGATGACTTCCATGACTCTCCATTTGGTAACGCTTTGCTTATGACTGTCGTCTTCAGCCGTTTCGTTTATAACTAGTAGAACTTCATTAACTTGAGCCGGTCCTAGATACGTCTGGGAGCATCTAGACATCGGTTATATGCAAGGCATGTGCGACTTGGTAGCTCCTCTATTGGTCACCTTCGACGACGAGTCCCTCACTTACGCGTGCTTCTGTCACCTGATGGAGCGGATGATTGAAAATTTTCCCAACGGGAACGCGATGGATTGCCACTTCGCGAACATGAGAAGCTTGATTCAGATCCTGGACGCCGAAATGTACGAGCAGATGCACGCCCATGGCGACTACACCCACTTCTATTTCTGCTACAGGTGGTTTCTATTGGATTTCAAGCGCGAACTGGTAAGTCCTGTTGGCACATTTACAGTCCTCGTTCGTCTCTTTTCCGCCACGTATTTGGTCGATAATTTATTTTCTGCCATTTTGGTTAACAACATTGAACAAGATGGTCGCTAACTGTTAAACTAATGAACTTCATATAATGATACTACAATATAAAGGACGGGCAATCTCTAAGTTCATAAATTGAGAAAGTTTTTACAGTATAATTATAAAAATTTGCAGTTTAAGGTTATTTTTTCATGGCAATTACGAATTTGAAACTTTTTATATATCTAGATAAACCGAGTCCTATTTATTATATCTGTCTATTGAAAAGTGAAATTCTTCTTCATATAAAAGGTATGGTTTGTTCATAGATATAAGAAAGTAACCAATTGCTTTTGAATGGGATTATCCAAGGGTGGCCATTAATATACAATGCAACAAGATTATTACCTAAAATTTCGGAATTTAAATTCAGGTAAAATTGTGGTCCGTAATAGAAAATAATTTTATACCTTCTTTGGTTTGGTATACTACTTAGTTTAAGTTTATTAGAAATCATTTTTATTTCGTGTGCGAATTATGCAAAATATGTGGGTATCTCGGGAGATGCTCCCGCCCAAATGTAGAAAACAATATTCTATTTAGACTAAGGAAGTTATAAACAACGTTTATTTGACTCTAATTGAACGCGGTGCCAGCAAGCAAGCATCTTTAGAAGAAACGGACATATTGACGAAAATTCCAACATCATCTGTATGGAAAATTGTGAACGATCCCATTTCAGCGATGCTGACATTTTCTCGAGTGTAGATGAAAGTCATCAAGTTACGAGGACCAAAGCGTGCCTACATTAGATATCTTAATTAGGAGGCTTGAAAAATATGAAACCGGTGTTAGATGTGGCAGAACTACCTTATGGACGTGTATTCAACACATGGGTTTTAGATTTAAAAAAATTGACAAAAAAAGTATTTTAGAATTCGGAAATGGCGACTGGAATATCTAGAAAAAATTAGGATTTACAGAGAACAACAAAGGCCAATTATTTACTTGCATGAAACCTGGTTCGACACTTATGATACCCCGGGTTGACTCAACTGATAAGTGTAAAACAAACGCGACATCAAAAAGATGTAAAAGAATAACTATTTTGCATGCTGGCTCTAAAGATGGTTGCATTCCAAATGGACTTTCTCTGTCTGCGAAAAATTTTAAAGATTCTTCTCTGGATTACCACGAAGACACTACCGCTGATTTATTTGAAATTTGGTTTAAAAACAAACTAGTTCCAAACATTCCTCCTAATAGCGTAATTGTAATGGACAATGCAAGTTATCACAGTAGACAGTTGACTAAAATCCCTTCCTCATATGACACAAAAGCAACAATCCAAAACTACATGTATAATAACGACATTTATTTTCACGAAGATTATACCAAAAAGCAATTAATTGAGGTTCTACAAAGCTTGAACCTACAAAAGGAATACGTCTATAATAATTATGCAAAAAATCTAGGCAATACTGTTTAAAGGCCATTTAATCCCATTGAACATGTTTGGCGCCAACTGAAATCTGCCATTCGTCGTAACAATATTTTTCCACGTGTTAACTCCAATGTCCTCAAACTTATAGAAACCGAAGTTTTTAACATACCTCCACAAAGTTGGGCAAATTCTGTTAAACATATAGAAAAACTAGAATAATCGTATAATATAATAATGTGTAATTTTATTTTAGATTTAAACATTTAAACAACATTAAACAACATTAAACAAAACCCCAAATAATTAGATTCTACGCAAAGTACGGACCTGTTCGGCCATATTTCATTCTTACAGCTCGTCCGGGTCTTTCCTTACTTCGTGTCAGTTAATCACTTTCTTATATCTATGAACAGACTTTACTCTTGTTTAGTCCATCTAAGTGGAATGAATCACTCTGTGAAGAGTGGCTTTAACTACCTCCTCTTTTACATATTTCGAAACGTGGAGTACGTCTAAAAAGACGGAAGGAGGACTATTAATTAAATTTTTCTTATAGAGGTATCTTTAATATATTAAATTACCGACTTTTTCCGAAATTTCCCGCAAACTCTTTGTTGAAAAGTAACTGTTGATTTAATGTCAGATAAAACGTAATAAAGAAATATTATTGAAAACTGTTGTCTAAAGTGATTGAGCTATTGACCTGCCCTTATTAAAGAATACTTATGAATGTCTAGAAACAAAATACCGTAAAACAAATAAAAGTAATTAATTGACAGTCTAAATCAAAAATATATAAAATATGAATTTTCAATTCCAGATTTACCCGGATGTTTTCACGACTTGGGAAATCATCTGGGCCGCCCAACAGGTAGCCTCCAGTCACTTCGTGCTATTTTTGGCCTTAGCTCTCCTAGAAACCTATCGCGATATCATTCTATCGAACGGTATGGACTTTACAGACATTATCAAGTTTTTCAACGGTACGCACTCTAAATGAGGAGAGAATTTGAGGAAACCGATCACTCTATTTTTAGAAATGGCGGAGAGGCACGACGCCGCCACCATATTAAAACTAGCTCGCGAGCTGGTCCTTCAGCTTCAGCTCCTGATAGAAAACAAGTAGGGACGAAGGAACTCCTTTAGGGCCCTTTAGAGGGCTAAGTCACCGTCAAAGGGTAGTGGCAGCACAAATTTAGTCTAATTTAGGCGTTGACTTTATTTAGTTTGGAATTTGGATATGGCGAAGTGTGTGTGTATCGGTTTACACTGGGGCAAAATTGCTTACTTTCAGTTTCAATTATTTCTTTGTAAATTCTATATTATTTTTTTTGTCAATTTGACTCATTATGAATAATTGAACATTTTGGGGTCCATTCAATTGATGATTGATTGCGAAACCACAAGCTTATTTCTAACATATATTTCCCAATTCCAATAATACCAATTTTGTAATGTTATTATTTTAGGGCGAGCAAACCTTCGCCTTATCCAAAGTCAAAATTTAAACAGTAATTTTAGGAAAATGAAATAAATTTCCAACTTAGATTGTTTAGAATTAAACAAATCCTACCAAAAAAAAAAAAAAAATGGATACCAAATCAAAATGTTGCTACACTGTTATTGTGTACGTAGTGGTCTGTTTAATAGTGGCTGATCAATTATCAAAATAAATAAGAACTAAAAGTTCAAATTATTATATATTATGACATGAAAACACCGTGTCTTTGTCAAATCAAATCACATTTGATAAAGACGCGGTGTTGTCGAAATAATTGTCATGTCATATTATAATTCCGTGAAAATCTGAAGTTTTAGTTCTTATTTATTTTGATAAATGGATTTTCATCAAGTAAAAGCCACCTCAGTTCAATTGGTGATCAATTATCTCAGAGCCTGTAAAAAATATTTAAAAAATGACAGACAAAAGTCACATACTTTAAAAATAATATATTGTTATATATACAAATTTTTTTCGTCGTTTTTCGCCGTCAAAGCATGGTTGCCATTAAGCAATGCTTTATTGCTAATATTTCGAAATCTACAACTTTTTCAAACAGGCGACGTTTTCCAGGATACTCAAGAAAAACCTAAAACCTTGTCTGAGAACAATTTAAGGATATAAAACGACGCATAAAACCACAATACGTGGAAGCAGAATTATCAGGGATTACCCAATCAGAAGTATATGTCATAAATCTTGCTAAAAATTTCAAAACCTCTGGACCAGATGACATTTCGAGTTGGTTAAGATGTCGAAAACCGAAAGAATAGAGATTCATAAGCTAGCCTTATGAAGCCTAAAAATCATCCATAGAAGTGTGAGGAACATATGTGAGGAACATATAAAAGAAGCTGCAGTTGATACAAAGGACATAAACATAATTAGGGGTCTAAAATCTGTAGTAAGGATGGACAACGAACTATCAAATCGTATTCTCGTGGAGTAAGACAAACCTGCTTGCTGTCATCCCTTCTGTTCAATTTGTACTCCGGGAATGCATTAGACAAAACCCAACACGGTTTAGGGTCGCTAATATCTTGAATGGATAAATCAACTGAAGAAGAAGAAGAAGAAGAAAGTAGACCTTCTATACTGAAATCAACTCCAAATTTAAATTTGACAAAATTGAAAATATGTCACAGTAAGACTAAAATATATAGGATATTATATATGAAACATGTCTGGAAAGTTCTGAGGAATTTGTAAATACCGTAATATATAGGGTGTTCTATTTAAAATAAGAAAGTTGTTACTTATCTCTTTTGTCTCCATTTTTTTTTTTGAATATTTTTTACAGATTCTGAGATAATTCCATATTGAACAGGCCACCCCGTGCCCATGTATCAACTTGGTTACAGTGGATTTGAATATTTGCATATTAAATAATCCTCAACCTGACGAGATAGTAGCATAACAACGTATATTTTGTACGAAGCCCCAACAATCCCCCCAAAAAGGTGCCAAAAAAACACAACACAAAGTAAAAATAAATCAGCGGACAAATTAGCCAGAATATAAATAAAACAAAATACATAATATATTATAATTGTTTTTAGATGTGCTTGATATTTTTATAATCGTCGTTTTCGCATGCGGCCACACTTCCTTCATTTAGAATCTTTAAGTGTAAATATGGGGGTCATCGGGCCCCCGCAGATGCGAAAAATATGGTTACACTATCCGGTCTATATTTTTTTACGCCACTATATATTACTTTTTATCTCTACACAGTTAATTTATCACATTAAAATTTAATACTGTTATGTAGCTTCAGATTTTATATTTACATTTGTTATATATCGTGATTATTTCATACCTATCTATATCGTTTAAACAGTACATATGCATATATATATATATATATATATATATATATATATATATATATATATATATATATATATATATATATATATATATATATCACGCAACAAATATCTATATATCGTAAAAAATTTCTCACCCAAAATGAAACTATTTTTATTAATAATTAATTTTCGTAATAAAGTTTATTATAATATCCAATACATTGATTTGTTACGTAATACAGGATGTTCCGAACCACATCGAGTCAGCGTAAAATGAACGTCCTGTAGCGCGCATAAGGCGTCAAATTATTTGCGAAATGGTTGTGACCCTGTCTATTCTTCAAAAAAAGAAAAATGTTCCTAAACGCGAAAAAATAAATTGTAGGTTATTTTGTTCGAAACGCACGGTGTATGGTTACTACGTCATTTTCAAATTAAACAAAAGCGAAACGTTTTTCAAGCTTGCGCGTTGCGTTCCAGTCCACTTCGCGATAATTACGAGTGTGTTTTTTTATTGTACATTCCACATATCACCCCGATTTGTTCTTCAGTGACACGTATCGTATTATATTATAATAAACAATAGAAGTACAAATATCGTGTTTACTTTTTCCCATCATTAGCCGTGTTCTTCCAAGTGTGAAAGAGACAAACACAAAGGGCAGGTAATTATGAAGAAGCAGCGATGGACGAATCATCGTTAAATCAAAAAATATTATTTACTGGGCCGACTCGTTAAGGAAAAAATCTCAGTGAAACATTTTATTACTTATTTTTAAAACCGGCACCTTTTTTTCCAATAGATTAAAACCAAAATTTTGAAAAACCCACAAAAACTAAGCTCATAGAAAGTAAAAATCTGATCAGCAAATACATTTTTATAGAAATAAAATATTTAATTAGCACGAAATTCTGTTAGCTTGTATATTTTTACCAGGTTCTTGGTCTTGTCGTGTTATTAATAAAAGTTGATGTGATTTATGGAGAATGCAGAAAAAACTTTGGGCAAGCTCACGTAGTGAAAAGGAAAAATCAAGTCGTTTTTTTTTATTTTACGAGAGCTATTCTGTGATCAATTTTCATATCAGAACAAATACAATTTTGATAGATTTTATTTTTTTATATTTTATTATTTATTTATATATGTTATTTTTTATTAAATATTTTTGGTACACGCGGAATATATACAGCCATAAGTACAGAAAACTCGGCCTTATTTATCCAGAAAAAAAGGAAACATATTTTTTCTTATCTTTTTTTTTTAAATAGAGCTCTCCTGAGATCAATCGGTAGTATTGTTTTATTTTTAGAAAAATGTGTTTACTGATTTGTGTTTTTTTTTTCATTTCTTGAGCTTGTTTCTTGTCGGGTTTTCAAAAAATTTATCAAAAATGTGAATCATATATATCTAACCCGAAATTTGGGTTTCGTCATGTTAGAAAGTCAAGTTCTGTTTCAACCCTGCAGAGATGTCAATTGCGATTGTGATGTTTTGTTCATTACTAGAGTTAATCAAGTTTTGAGGACGTTATACCTAGATTATAAAGATCTCTGCATAATGCATATCATCTATTACAATCTAAAGGCATCACTCAAGATAGGGGAACAGTTATTTCATTATAATGAAGACACTGCTTAATCTGTATTGTCCCCAGTGCTTTTTAATCTAACTAGACAAAGTATAGTTTAAACTTTAAAGTGAAGAAAACAAAATATACGGTGTTTAGTAAGGAGCCCGGATCAGTTGCCGGTAAGTTAAGTCAGCAATCCCATGTATTTGGGAATCAACCTCAATAACCAATGGAACCAAAACCAGCTGTCATCAGAATGCCTTCCATACTAAGATGTTGCTTATGCATAGCTGATTACAGTTGATCCTATAGCGAAGTATCTACGGAAAATGGGAAGAAGAATTTCTTGGACTCAGAATCTGAGAAAATGTTTCTCGCAAACAAGACTGCATGCTAATCACCAACGCAAATCCGAAGCTAGAAGAAGAAGTGAATGTAAAACATATCTAATTAATTCTTAAAACTGAGAACATGTATGACATGTATGAACATGACAAGTGAACGAATTCAAATGTTATTGAAAAACTTCAGAAATGGTTCAATCTAGGTTGTCTGTGCTGTTTTATTTCCTTACATTGCACGTTCCAAAACTTAACGGTTGTGGTAGCTCTTGATGACTCGACTGGAGAATTCTTCGAACTCTTGACAGTTTCTGACTTCGGAGTATCCACCAAATTGGCCTTTATAATGTATTTTTATAGTATTTGCAAAACAAGCGGATTTTTTCTGTGGTTAAAATATAAAAATGAAAATGTATCACTAGATTTCCACTTCAGTGGAAGTTCACCTAAACATATTGAGGATTGGTCTTCAATAAATACCGGGAAAGCTAGTGTCATAAGAATACTCTTGGTGTCATTGCTAGCGAAATCGACATCTTTCATGTGTCACATCTCATTCTATGTCTGTCACATATGAGACCAAAATATTACATCCACTTCGGACCTAAAGATACTAGTCGGGTAAATATTTGCTGGAAAGGTGTGCACCAAATCATATTCGGAACATGATCTGACCAAAATCGAATTTAGTTTGTCATTTGTTCATATATATCGGCCTTTTTATCGTCTCCATGGGCGGCAGCTTGGCCATATGGGAAATCCTCAATATGTATAAGTACCACTGTATCTTATACGCAAAGGTAGTATTCAAAACTTACATCCCTCGGCAGACGGATGCTATCAAACCGACAGATGACTCTGTCGGCAAAGTCTCGTTCGTCAACGACACGCAACATGAATTTGGTAAGATGCTTATATTTTCTGGTATTGTAAATAAGGATTGCATTGTATTTTCTTTTTTTAATATTAACAGTGACTGGTTTTTGTAAGTATTTTAAAGCTTATAATAGTTTATCTGGTAAGAGCCGATTTGGGATAGAAAGACTTCAGACTTATTTGAGACTGTTGTTTAGTTATATTTTTATTTATCAACCAGTATTTGTTTGTGTTGTTTAATGCTATTTGTCTTATAATATTTAATTCCTTTTGAACATTTTCTGGGGAAAGTGGTATATTAAGTATCAAAGCATAAAAGGCAGCCATTTTGTGTGTGTGAGGGTGATTTGAGTTATTATGAATGAATGAATGAAACTTTATACGTTTGATACGTTGACGTTGAGTTGATATGATTGGAAAAGGACTGTTTTCCGTTCCAGTCAAACAAGCAAAAACATCATCTACGCCAAATAAATTCTTTACGCAGAGGATGTTTACTTATGATGTTTTCCACATTGTCCACGAAAATTTTTGCAAGTAGTGGACAAACTGGGTTTATCATAATTAATCCTTCTTTATAAATTATATATAATTTTGGTCGGAACATTAATAAAATATCTTGTGATAGGGTCGACTTGAGTAAGAATATTATCGATTATGTTCATTACGTCAATCGGTGGAATGCTAGGAATGGGTTTTCAAAGGAAACTAGAAGGAATTTTAGGGTCTTTAACCTTGTTGATTAGTTCGAACGAATTTTTGATAACCATATATTCTATATTCTAAACTTTTTATTAATCTTATTGAAAGTTTTACTGATGGTGCTGTTACAATTCGGCCTGTAGTTTCTTTTGTAACAGCACCATCAGTTAAACATTCAACAAGATCCATAAAAATTCTAGATATGTTATGAAAAATTTGTATTAGAATATTGTACCGATATTGGTTTGGTATGTACGTGAAGATATTTTTATTTATTATTATTATTTTTTTTAATAGCAATAGTTAACTTAAACAAGTGAAATAAGTATGTGCATAAAAAGTTAATTAAAAAGTACGTAATAAGTATCGCTTAGTATCTTTTATTAAAGAACATTTTCACTAATATCAACGCCGAATAATACTAAAGTGTTAAGAACAACACCAAAAGAACAACAATAATACATAATTTTTCAGTGAAAATTCGTTTTTTATCTTATGCGGTTTTAAAATAAAGCTGACCTATTTTGCCAATTGCAATTAAACCTTTAGACTGGAACAGCTGGTACGCAAGAGTGAAAAACCGGACGACAGGCAAACCTTTCCTCGAAGGAACAATTTCTATGAGGTAATCAGTCTTATCGTCTTATGATTTTGGGAGTGGGTGTGCATTTTCAAGTACTTCAAAAGGCAGGAGTAACCACATAACAGTGAAATATACTTTGTGGTATAGAAATTGCAAGATGTTTATAATGTTTTGTCGGTTAATTTCCTGCGTGAAGTGCGGTAAGCTACACATTTTTGCTCTAGTCTGTTTACAACTAGCTAGACTTTTTTTTTAAATTACGTAAAGGTTATATTATTTACAAGTCTTCTGGATTCCTTATGCGTCACCAATTATCCTGTTGTGTTTGGCAACTGAAGATGATTTTATTTGTTGTAATCTTGAGACTCTTTCATGTTCTTTGAGTCCAGTTGATATTTTTCTGTATGGATCTGTGCGCGAAGGTTTTCTGTAAACAGAATGACTCGTTGTTAGGTCTGATTTTCTATTTATATTGGAATAGAAAATCAGGTATAGAGCTTAGAGTAAAATTGCCTTTATTTTCAAAACAACTGACAGCGACTGAGTTTATTAATTACCATATTTAACCATCTTATTCGGGTTCCAGAGAAACAATTTTCGCTACTGACTTGATGTGCAACCTGATGCTGTTTCCACCTCTGGCGTCTGCCGTGACGTCGATATTTTTAGGGTTTTGGGTTTTGCTGAGCGCCAGAGGTGGGTCTGGATATCCCGGCGATTTGTAAGTTAACGTATTTTCTATTTTTCCACATTCCGAAGGCATTTGCGCGTTCAGGATGGCGAACCCCTGGATGTGTACCTACCCTTTCCTGGGAATTTGCGCATTTATGACGATATTGAGCGTGGTGTGCGACCGATTATTTTACAGAGGCCTCACCGCGTTTTGCCTGAACTACAAGCAGTTTACCAAAAGCGATATGTAAGAGTTCTATCTTTATAGACTGAGTGGATTGAGAAAATTTACTTACAGGGAGTAAGTAAAATATAGTTCTTCCGCCAAACGTTTTATCTTGCGTTCAATCTGCGCATTCGATAAGACCTTAAAGGGTTTAACATAGCCGTTGATAAAATGAGTTAAATATGTGGACGTCGCTGCTTACCAAAAGCGGAGAAAACTGCGGAGTAGTGCGTGAAATTTATTTACATTAAATCCTCGACAAAAAAAACCTTAGAATCCTCCGAGGTGTAATTTTACCGTATATACTCCCCCATATTCAACTTACCTTTATTTAAATTTAAATTCAACAGGCGTGTTTTTTTGGTAATATTTTAACAATGTCCACACTGTAAAAGCAAATTTAGCTTTTGCTCGATTAAACCTTGCACACTATATTTCTATGCGCAGTTATAAAGTCTACCGAAAATGGACGTCAATAACTTTATCACTGGCTAAGATAGAAATAATGGTATCTTGTTTTAGGTATTAAATATTTCTTTTAAGGAGTAATGAAGTTTAACTTCGAGACACCCCGTGTGGATGGAGGAATAAGACTTGTAAATTTTCTTTTTGAGCAATTACTTATCTTTAAAAATTATTAGGTTCTTATAAAGTAATAGGTCACTTATCTTTAAAAATTATTAAGTTCTTATAAAGTAATGGGTCACTTATCTTTAAAAATTATTAGGTTCTTATAAAGTAATAGGTCACTTATCTTTAAAAATTATTAGGTTTTTATAAAGTAATAGGTCACTTATCTTTAAAAATTATTAGGTTCTTATAAAGTAATAGGTCACTTAACTTTAAAAATTATTAGGTTCTTATAAAGTAAGAGGTCACTTATCTTTAAAAATAATTAGGTTCTTATAAAGTAATAGGTCACTTATCTTTAAAAATTATTAGGTTCTTATAAAGTAATAGGTCACTTATCTTTAAAAATTATTAGGTTCTTATAAAGTAATAGGTCTTCGTTTTCAAGACACAGGGTGTTAATGGCGAGCCATTACGAAAATGGAAAAAACTGACTATATTCGCTAGAATGAATCAGAATTTTACTTATATTATTTTCTTATTTCTACAAATAATAATAAGTGTGAAGAGTTACGTCCACTTTAATTAACAATTAAGTGATACTCATGAACTATTTCAATAAAAAAATTAAAGGCATTAGAACATTGCAAAATCAAACAAATTTAATACTAAAAATTAAAAATGAAAAGCCCTGAAAAATATACCTCCGTACATATAGTATAAAAAACTATAATATATGAGACATAGAGTTTTACTTGATTTAATCAAAATTAAAAGGAATTTCGGGTTTAAAACAATTTGCATTATTGTTTTTGGATTATTGCATTTTGCTTCGTGCAATTTTCTTTTTTCTTCGCTTATACGTCCTTTCGTAGGTCGCCAGGTAGATATATCTTGTTCGTATGCAGATTGTATTAGTAAATTTTCTCAAGTCTCTCTTTACACGGTTTTTTTAAAACAAACGCGTAACTCCTAAAGGGGTGTGTTTCCTGTTCCAAAAAGAGATCACTCTCTGTCGCTCTTAAGTTTCCATTTTTTATCTTAAAATTAGAGATATTTTAGAACTATCACTATTATTAAAACACTTTGCATATTTTTTAATTTGTGTAGGATGACTATTGGAGGTAAGATTAAAGAACATACCCAATAGCATGGATAATTTGTTTGTCCAACATTCAATGTTTTACGCTTTCGTTTTATATTTAAAAACATATATGAAGACAATGCAAGAAACAAAAAAGTTTCTAAATAAACTTGGTTTTCAAATATTTTTTCTATAACATCGTGAATTTAGCCAGAAAGAATGATAGGGGTAATTTGTTTAGTCAACTGTACGCATTCCCAAAAAGTGAAAAAATATACCGCAGTTGTGTTTTTATAATAGTAATCCTGTCATATTTTCCTGTTTTAGAAAAAAAAATCCGCCGTACTTTGAGGTCGATATATAACTACCCCAAGTTTTTCGCAAATTGTTTTGGACACCTAAGTTTTAGATGTTGTTCTCAAATGGACCAGTACACCAGACAATTTAATCTTGGGGAAGAAAAGCCATTTTATTTCTTCTACATATTGGGGATGATCATGATACAGCTCCATACGGCACTCTGGATACTTCAGACCTTGCTCTATGTGATGAGGATACTTTGCCTGGTGGACTTTACGATCTACTTGACCAGAATTCGCCTCAACGATGACGCGCATGTGCGATTTTGGTTATTTCCAGTAGTTTCTTTTATGCGATTAACAATCTTTTTTAGAAAATGGTGAACTATAACGATCTCGATGACCTCCAGGTGAAAAGCGTCGTGCTGAAGTTCGTGGAGGATAAAGAGAAATAAACAGCATTTTGTTTAACTTACGACCAATATTTTGGCGCCATGAGGCTAGCTAAATCTTGTAAAATTCATTTGTCATGTTCACAGTATTAAATTTCCTTACATTGCGCTGTTGTATTTAAATGTCTTGAATCATAATTGCTGGCGGTTCTAACGAAAGAGAATTTAGTACGACAATTAATCATAGAGGCAGTAGCGCTTGTAGTCTCTAACCTGTCAGTTTTACACCTCAAAGCTTTCGACGCTTACCTGCTCTGTCAGACTGCGCATTGTCTTTGGGCCGACGTGGTTTGAAAATCAAGTCACCTACGGTCCACCGTCGAGTGACTCCATGCTGGAGCCTTTTGCTTCTACTGTACCGGGTGTTTCGTTTGCCGCGGAAACCAGAATAAAAAAATACACTCTTTTAGAAAAATTTGAAAAGATTTTCGTTTAAAACCTCTCTTGGTGTTATTATAATAAGTATATTAACCCAGTCTTTAATTTTAATGTTATTTTTGGTTATTTCGGTATCTGAACAACAAATACTAAAATTTTAACTGCAGGAAATCTAGTCCTATTCACAAAAAATTACACGAAACTTAGTATAAGTCAGCATCTGCAAGTGAAAGACGGTTGAGTGGGAACGGTGAGCGACTCAAGTTTGGTACTCTATTGGGACCGCACATATTTTGCTCTTAATCCTAAAAATTTGATAATTTTTATTGAAAACGAAAAACAGCGAGGTTGATTGGCTGGCCGCACGTCGATGTCTCCCGGGATAAGCTTAAGTTGGGTAATATATTTGTCAGTTTAATGCTCGTATGTTGTCATTACACAATCCTACTCTCTCTGGATCCAGGTATATGTGACCTCTTGTTTAATAATGCGAAATGACTGGATTTAATAGCTTAAACTTCACCGAAAACAAAAATGAAGGCATAATTAAATGGAAAAAAAAAAGATTCTTAATTATAACGACGCGATTAAACTGCAAAATTTATTGAGTGTACAGCTAGGAAAAATAAATGTTAAATAAAATAAGAATATACACCTTGAATATACCTTTATTCAAAACAACACGGATACATTCACTGAAATTGACAAGCGTCAATATTAAAGCCGTGTGGTAATATCTCCGAAAACATCCGATTGCTCCCTAACCCGTGCGGTTAATATCCCGGAAATGTCCGAAGCGGCTCGGATTCGCGGGAAACGAAACTGACGCGGTTAGGTCGTTATATAATATAATTAGGCATTTTACAGAAGGAAGTAGAAAACCATATTATTATGCTTTGTTGTTGGGCACCCGGTACGCTAGACCAGAATCAATAAACGAATCAAAAGTAAAAGTGCGAGGTTGCCTCTCTGACCGCGCGTCGATGTCCACCGCACGGAAATTTAAATACCCGCAGTTCCACGCAACTGGTCGAATCCAACCGACGGATCACTCGACGGTCGGCTGCGAGATTATTACCTGCATACCAACATCCAAGATGGCCGCCGTCGAAGAATGCGATCACAAGTAAATAACTGTTAGACTCGCAGCGCGCTCGCGGGGCCCGCTCGTTTTTCTACGCCCGTCGTCTCTCTAATTATTAACGAAAAAGTGATCGAGGGGATCCGGCAAAAAGTGCGCGACTTCCGTCCGTTCATCGCAAGGTGCATGGTGGTGGTCAGTGGCGATTCGCGATCCGCAGTGCGAGGTTAGGAAGAGAGGAGAGTTCCGTATAGACAAAAGAGACGCATGCGATTTGTTTTGCGATGTGAGACGGTCGAAAAATCATGGTGTGTGTGATGATCCCGATCTCGGACGGCCCGGATTGCTCTCACGATGTCGCATCGCGATTTCACAGAGGTGAGGCGACAAACGGAGCCCTTGCGCGTCCGTCTAATCAGTAAGATTCGGCCGTACCGGTTCGCCTAGTCGATTACAAAAGCAAATAAAATCGCGCGTGGAATTCGAATGTCGTACATCTCTTCGCGTCCGAGATTTACGCGATATTTCCATATTTAGTGGTAACACCGGTAGCCGAAGACGCCGCTCTCCGGATTAAAACAAAACGAACGCGGCCGTATGTGGAACGTTTTAGCGGTTTAATGCGTTTTTTCGACTCTCTATTCGCGACCGGTTTTAAATTCGAGCGAATACGCGCAAAATCTTGGCAAACGCAATCGGAAAATTGAATCGACCGAGGTTTTGTTTCCCCGAGAGACATCGACGTCCGGTCAGACAACTAACCTCGTGCATTTTTCCATATATTAAACGATAAATAGTAGAGAAAAAAGTCTCCGATCGCAAAAGAGAAAGAGATGAGGAAGCTAAAGAAGCCATCTATCTATGTAATATGTTACGAACAATATTTTTACACTCGCATACATTTTACAAGTTTTTATGTTACCCAAGTTGTATCCGAGGAATCTATAGGCAGTCTTTGCACTGTTATAGACTATTTCAGAAAAATGTAGAAAATAAAATATATGCGTCCGCCATAGGCGCGTATAGCATTCGTGCAATCACATTATTTTTGATCAATATTGAAAATTCAGTACTAATCTTGTTGTTGTCATTTTTTTACCACCATACCTAATATTCTTCATGAGGGAGTAAATGTAAATAAATGACACTTTATTGGCAGAGTAATAATAACACACACTTATATTTTTATATTTTTACGAATCATTTTTCACAACCTCTGAAGAAAAGTCTAAACAGACCAGGCAGAGCAGCTCTTGATAAGGACACTGAAATTATAATTCGCGGAAAATTTCCGTTTTTTATAATAAAAAAATACCCAAAAGTGAGAAAAGCTTTACCGAATCCAAATTGTAATGAAAACAGACAGTATATTCATGAGCATAAAATTATTCCACAAAATAGAGGGCAAAACGGTAACATCTAATCAAACAAAATTTAAAATTGAATGTTGTTGTTATTGTATTATAAAAACAGGACAGCCTGGAGCCTAGGGTGGTCATGATTCTAGGGCTTAACAAGGAAAACCTATTTCTGAACTAGATAGAGCAAAATCAACATGTTCAAGGCTCGATTTTTGAGAAATATTAAAAAAGCGCATGACGATATATTCACTACTAACCGCGACACAGAGTGTTTTTTAATTGACATTCCCATTGAGAATTACCCATAACTTTAATTTTTATGAAAATTTCTGGTTCGGTTTCTTAAGACAATGATCTAAGAGAAAGACTAGATCACATGGATTAAACATGAAATCAGACGATAACATATCGGATGAGTTTTTTATGTTAGACCAGAAGAATAAATATAGTGTTATTACAATAATTGGATCAAATTCTATAAGCTCAAATAATTCAAAACACGTGACCTGTGTGGCAAAGTATTCAAAATAAATAAGAACTAAAAGTTCAGATTTTCACGAAATTATATATTTTGACAACACCGTGTCTTTATCAAATGTAATATTTACAAACTACCTGCTACTATATATACCGAAAAATGACCACGAAACCTTAATTAATGTTGTTGCGAGAATTTAAGTTCAGTAAAAAGAGGTATTAAATCTAATTAATCGATAAGCAATACATTTGAATGTATAAATTTAATTTTCTACTTTTTGTGGCTGTGTGTAATATATCATTGTCGTCAAAAATGTGTTTTTCTGTGATTAAGTGTGTAGCATAATTAGAATCTAGACTATTGTTTTTAAACGCTCTTACATGTTCGTTAATGAGTTTCTTGAAGGATCTAACTGTTTGTCCAGTATAACATTTATTAGCGAATATAATAAACTCTCAATTAATAGATAGTAACAAACACAAAGAAATTTCTCAAATGTCACTAGTTAAAACTATCAAAAACAAAGCTTCTGAAAATAACATAATATTTACACGTGCAGATAAAGGGAAGACAGTCATAGCTATCGATCTCCCAGAATATATTTCAAAAACCAGCAATTTTCTTAAACCAGAACTTTTCCTTTGTGTGAAACACGATCCAACTGAGTTATATCAAAGACAAGGCAAGGATGTAATTACTAACTCCACACTATTTAGTGACAAAGACAAATATAACCGCCTAGTTAAATTACATAAACAAGATATGGCCATTAGACCAGTGGTATCTTATGTAACAGCACCAGCAGTTAAACTCTCTACAAAATTAGTAAATATTTTAAAGTTTCACACAGATTTTAAACCAAAATTTGCAATAAATAATTCTTTTGAATTAATCAACAAAATTAAAGATATCAAAATCCCTTCTAACGCAACTCCCAGTATTCCACCTATGGATGTGATAGATTTAGTAGATTTTACCCTAACTCGGAAACAGGTTAACTCATTGGTGAAACAAGATTTATTATATTGCTTAATAGTATCTTTAGACCAAAATTATTTTGAATTTAATGGACAGATTTATATCTCTAAAGAAGGTTTGATTATGGGAAACCCACTTAGTCCTTTGTTAACCGAGATTTTTATGGATAATGTAGAAAATATCATACTAGAACATCCTTTAAGTAAAATTTTTTTATGGTGGTATAGGTATGTGGACGATGTCTCTGCTTGCTTTGTTGGAACGGACAGACAATTGAATTATTTTTTAAATTATATTAACTCAATACATAATCGTATAAAATTCACTATTGATTTTTTAGACTTAACAATTGCGAAAGTACAAAACAAATTAGATTTTTCAATATATCATAAACCTTCACATACGGACACAGTCATACATAATAGCTCAAATCACCCTTATACATACAAAATGGCTGCATTTAACTCTTTTATACGCAGACTTCTTAATACGCCACTCTCCACAGAAAATTATAACAAAGAACTTAATATCATTAAACAAATAGCACTGAAGAACGGCTACAATTCGTCCATTATGGATAAAATTATATATAAGAAACAAATACAGACAACTGTAAACTGTATTTATTCGAAACCAAATACAGAACACGAACAATTTAACACATTTACATACATAGGAGAACTTAGCGAAAAAGTTTCAAAACATTTGTCAAAATGTGGTTTAAAAATAGCTTTCAGAACTAACAACACAATAGGAAAATATTTAAAAAACAATAAATCGAAATGTCCAAAATCCCAAAAATCAGGTGTCTACAGGTTGAAATGTGGATCCTGTCCTAAAATTTATATTGGACAAACAGGTAGATCCTTCAAGAAACTCATTAACGAACATATAAGAGCGTTTGAAAACAATAGTCTAGATTCTAATTATGCTACACAGTTAAACACAGAAAAACACATTTTTGACGACAATGATATATTACACACAGCCACAAAAAGTAGAAAATTAAATTTATACATTCAAATGTATTGCTTATCGATTAATTAGATTTAATACCTCTTTTTACTGAACTTAAATTCTCGCAACAACATTAATTAAGGTTTCGTGGTCATTTTTCGGTATATATAGTAGCAGGTAGTTTGTAAATATTACATTTGATAAAGACACGGTGTTGTCAAAATATATAATTTCGTGAAAATCTGAACTATTAGTTCTTATTTATTTTGAATACTTTGCCACACAGGTCACGTGTTTTGAGTTATTGAAGCTTCTAGAATTTGATCCAATTATTGTAATAACACTATATTTGTTCTTCTGGTCTAACATAAAAAACTCATCCGATATATTATCGTCTGATTTCATGTTTAATCCATGTAATCTAGTCTTTCTCTTAGATCATTGTCTTAAGAAACCGAACCAGAAATTTTCATAAAAATTAAAGTTATGGGTAATTCTCAATGGGAATGTCAATTAAAAAACACTCTGTGTCGCGGTTAGTAGTGAATATATCGTCATGCGCTTTTTAAATATTTCTCAAAAATCGAGCGTTGAACATGTTGATTTTGCTCTATCTAGTTCAGAAATAGGTTTTCCTTGTTAAGCCCTAGAATCATGACCACCCTAGGCTCCAGACTGTCTTGTTTTTATAATACAATAACAACAACATTCAATTTTAAATTTTATTTGATTAGATGTTACCGTTTTGCCCTCTATTTTGTGGAATAATTTTATACTCATGAATGTACTGTCCGTTTTCATTATAATTTGGATTCGGTAAAGCTTTTCTCACTTTTGGGTATTTTTTTATTATAAAAAACGGAAATTTTCTGCGAATTATAATTTCAGTGTCCTTATCAAGAGCTGCTCTGCCTGGTCTGTTTAGACTTTTCTTCAGAGGTTGTGAAAAGTGATTCGTTAAAATATACAAATATAAGTGTGTGTTATTTTTACTCTGCCAATAAAGTGTCATTTATTTACACTTACTCCCGCATGAAGAATATTAGGTATGGTGGACAAAAAATGACAACAACAAGATTAGTATTGAATTTTCAATATTGATCAAAAATAATGTGATTGCACGAATGCTATACGCGCCTATGGCCGACACATATATTTTATTTTCTACATTTTTCTGAAATAGTCTATAACAGTGCAAAGACTGCCTATAGATTCCTCGGATACAACTTGGGTAATGTAAAAACTTGTAAAATGTATGCGAGTGTAAACATATTGTTCCTAATATATTACATAGATAGATGGCTTCTTTAGCTTCCTCATCTCTTTCTCTATCGCAATCGGAGACTTTTTTCTCTAAAACGTGGAAAATTAAATCTATTGGAAGCCATGGAGATTAACAAAATGAGACATTCAAATGTATTGCTTAACTATCAATTAGATTTAAATTTTTCGATATATATAGTAGCAGGTAGTTTGTAAATATTACATTTGATAAAGACACGGCGTTATCGAAACAAAATATATAATTTCGTGGAAATCTGAACTTTTAGTTTTTATTTATTTTGATAAATGGATTTTCATCAAGTAAAAGCCACCTCAGTGCA